AAAAGCCAATCGCTCCATTTCTGGATACCGCATCTCGGTATCCAGCAGACGCTTGATCACGTAATAAATTGGCCATTGATCCTTGCTCTCTTCTCGAACTAAAGTTGCATTGACCGTGTATTGAGAGACGGATAGATACAGGAGCAGAATTTCTTGCGGGAGAGGCTTGGATAGAAGAGGTGGTTTTCCAAGGTACCCTTTAATGTTCTAAAATGCCTGTTCGCACTCAGGAGTCCACTTAAACTTCTTTTTGGCCTTGAGTATATTGAAGAATGGCAAGTAGCGATCTGTTGCCCTCGATATGAAGCGACTGAGTGTCACTCTTCGCCCGTTGAGACTCTAAACCTATTTTCAATTGGTTGGGCTTTTCATGTCAAAGAGAGCTTGGATTTTCTTGGGGTTGATCTTTATTCCCCTCTGGTTAACCATGTACCCCAGAAATTTCCTTGAGGATACTCCAAATGAGCATTTGAAAGGATTGAGCTTCATTCTGTACTTCCGGAGGATGTCGAACATCTCAGCGAGATGCGCTATGTGATCTGAAGCGACATGCGACTTGACTAGTATGTCATCAACATAGACTTCCATCGATTTCCCGATCTGCTTAGAAAACATTCGGTTAACCAACCACTGGTAAGTCGCTTCAGCATTTTTCAGGCCGAAGGGCATAACCCTATAGCAATACAGCTCCCGATCTATAACAAAAGAGGTATGCTCTTTGTCCGACGCATACATTGGAATTTGATTATATCCAAAGTATGCGTCCATAAAACTTAGCAGCTCGTGCCTGGAGGTGGCATCAACGAGCTGATCGATCCTTGGTAAGGGAAAATTGTCTTTTGGGTAAGCTTTATTGAGGTCAGTGAAGTCAACACAGGTCCGTCACTTGCCGTTGGGCTTCTTTACTAGAATCAAGTTGGCAACCCAGCTCCGGTAGAGTGCTTCCCGGATGGACCCATTCCGAAGGAGATTATCTACCTCAATTTTCAAGGCATCATATCGCTCTGGATCCATCGCTTTTCTTTTCTGGCATATCGGCCTGGCTTTACTATCGATGTTCAAGGCATGGCAAATGATGTCCGGGTTTATCCCGACCATATCAACATGCGTCCATGGGAACACATTAATATTTTCTTTGAGGAAGCTGGTCAGGTCAGTAGCGAGTTGGGGGTTGAGATTGCTTCCAATCCTCAACACTCGGCTCGGCTCGGCTCGGCTCGGCTCGTTCTGGTCGACTGACACTTCCAATAGATCCTCAACTGGCCCATTGGAAGGGCATTCTTGGATACAAGGATCCATATTATCCTCGGCTAGGCCAGGCTGTGGTTCGATTTGATTGATCACCATTGCCTGTTCGGGAATGCCACGCGGGATGTCTTTCCCTTTACACGTCATCTGCACTGCCCTTACATAGCAGTCGCCAGACGCGGGCTGAGATCCGCTTACTTCCCCTATCGCCGTCGGGGTAGGGAACTTCATCTTGAGATGGTAGATCGAAGTGACTGCCTTGAAGTTTCTTAGTAGAGATCGCCTTAGGATGCCATTGAAAGCGGAGGGCTAGTTCACTACCAAGAATTCAGTGACCCTAGTCATCTTGTCGGAGTCACCCAGCGTGACTAGAAGCGAGATCGTTCCCTTGGGGATTAGGTGATCCCCTGTAAAACCATATAGAGGGATAGAGGTGGGCTTCAGGTCGACCTCATCCAATTTCATTCTTTCGAAAGCTCGCTGGAACAGGATGTTTACAGCGCTTCCGTTATCCACTTACATTCTATAGACGTCGTAGTGCCTTATTTGGGCCATGATGATGAGAGCATTGTCATGGGGATGATGCAATCAGACTGCGTCTTTTTCTGAGAAAGTGATTTCCTCCTCCCTGCGAACCTTTGATGGTCGTTGCGTCATGTTCATCACATGAATAGTATCGTGATGGGCTGCGCGAGCATATCTTTCTTGGGCACCTTGCGAGTTTCCTCCGAGGTGTGGTCCTCTAAAGATTATCGCCGCGTTGCAGATACCCTTGCGATCATGACGCTTCTTACCCGATTCCTCTAGATTTTTTTTCCTTACGGGAGTAGAGTCATCAACATACTCTTTGAAATGCCCCTGTTTGATAAGGTCTTCGATTGCTTGCTTGAGAGCTTGGCACTCATCGGTGTGATGCCCATTGTCCCGATGATAACAAAAGTACTTTTTATTGTTTCTAGCTGAAGGAGGATTTTTCATGGGCTCAGATTCTCTGAGCAGACTGGCCTTTTCTGACTTGTCAAGGATAGCCGAGACAGATGCATTCAAAGAGGTATATTGATTCATGTCACGATCGCGATAAGGAACTAGAGCATAAGACTTCTTGGACTCAAACCGTGGTTTCTTTCCTTTTCGCTGATCGTCATTAGCCCATTTGCGATCAGTCCTCCTATTTTCCCCCTGACCAGGTGCATTGCCCGAAGGACCAAGGTCGTGGTGGTTAAGCGCTGTCACAGAATTCTCAATACGGAGGTATTTCTCCATAAGGCTGTAAAAGCAGGTGAGAGAAACATCGTCCTCTGATTACAGCTCTTTCCACATATCTGTCTGTGGACGAACTCCCACGATGATGAGAGTCTGAACGGACTCTTCGGGAGTGTGAGCTACTCTTGCCTTATGTTGTTGAGGTAGCTCAAAGGCATTGAGAACTTCTTGTTCGCTTGGAACTGTCTCAAGAATGTCGAGCTCATCTGATTCCACGAGCTGATCGATCTCGTCGGGAGCGACCTGAACCATCGCTTGGCATGAGATGTAAGAATTACTGCCAAGCATCGGCATTTTGCCAAGTCAGAAACTTGGTGAAGTTCTATCAGGTCATTGAATTCGTACAAATGATCCTACGGATCAGAATTCCCATCGAACCCCCGCATATCGGGCATTCTGAATCTGGATAGGAGAGGGGCGACTAACACAGCCTGAGAAAAGGGAGACGCCTCTGCGACCTGTCTTCGCTCATTTTGCTGAGCCTTTAGCTGATCCAGAGCTTGCTGTAGCTCCTCAATCTGAGGCAGCGGAGCCATCTAAGGATTGCTCTCCCTAACGCGGGTTTGACCCTCGCGATTACAGTTGAGGAAAGTCCGAAGGTCATATTCCTCCTCGCCTCGGCCGGCAGTTCCGACCGCTCTTGACACACGCTGGCTAGAGTCGTACGATGGCACTGAATGGTCTGGGGAACCTTCCCAACCTCCGCGGTGGTGCGAACCGACCCGTGGACGGTGGAAACTTCCCGCATGACGACGATCAGAGTCATCATTTTGGCGATAATGGGAATCTCCTCGCCTTGCACTTTTATGGGAATGCTCGCGCGACGTGGCATGAAACAGCTTGGGCCGCGACATGTCATTGAGTCTCCACGCCACGGGTATTTTACCCGGGGTGTGGTCGGTATTTACTGGTCCCTCGGAGCCTCTAGGCCCGCTGTTCGCCACCTATTTTCCCTTTCTTTGACGCGCTGCAGTGCGCGCGGCACGGGCTATCTCCCTTTTTCGCGCTTTCATGTGACCTGTAGGCGTTTTTGGCGGTGGCACCGCCTCATTTGATTCGGGTGGCACGACCCAATCTAAGCTGTCCAGCCTTTGGCTGACTGTTTGGAGAGTATTGTTGAACCTTTCTAGGTAGCTCATGACGGCTGGATCAAGCTGTGAGCTTAAAGGGATATCCCTCATGAGATTTTGCGGGACTGGAGGCACTTCGGAAGAAGTATCCTCTTGCACTTGGGGGATCTCTTCCTCACCATGACTGGTTCGCTCAGGTTCGAATCGGAGAGCCATTTACTGTTGTAGGACCGATTAGTCAGATATTCTCTTGATGAAGGACGAATACTAAATCAGGCCTTTCCTCTAGCGCTAAACTGTTAATGCGTGATTTTGACACCAACTAAACGTATGTGGGAAATACTGAGCTGACTCAGATGACACACATGTATGGGGGTATTGAATTGAATAAAAGATGGAAAACAATGTTTAAAGTGGTTCGGATGCTTAAGAAAACGAATCCTACATCCACTGGTAGTGTATTAATATATGAGATCAGGTCGCGTTCAGCGAGCTGACTTACAAGAGATTGCAAGAGAGAGAGAGAGAGAGAGAGAACATATATATGCTATTCTAGAGAGAAATTAGCTAATCCCACAAATGGAAGAGGATCCCTCTATTTATAGTAGGATGAGTTAAGGTAATGATTACTAAATCAGGGAATAGGTCAAATTGTCATGCAAATCCTTCCTTGTGTCCCGTTGTTCACCTACTCGAGTGATTTACTCGACTCTTGCAAGGATTGGACACGTGGATTGCCTCCAGCCTTTCACCAGCCTGACGCACACCCACTGCACTGACGGGAGCATGCCGTTTGCCTCAGTGTGCGACGTGACTGCGTTTGAATGGTTGCAAAACTTACCTAAGCTCTGACTGCTTACGCTGATAGGACTTTACGTCAGCCCTATTTTTCTAGGCATAACAAAATGAATGATCATATGGTGTAAAATTGGCCAGGTCCAATCATTTATTTTTAACGCTTTCCTAGATTGCATAACTAGCATTCATCTTCACCTCGTAACATTCTTATCACGTTTTCCTTGAACAGGTTTTTCAGTTCACTTGTCAAATAATAAACAAGAAAACAGTAATTTCTTAAACACCGGGACCCATCATACCATGAAACACCATTCCGGAGTCCGGACAAGAGTTACCCAGAAACATCCAATAGATCTTCACATCCTTCGTCATGATGCATCCGAGTCCACAGGATCAAAAACAGAACAAATGATTCTCAAACTATGTAAAATCAACCAAATTCTAGAAAGATAGTAGAAGAAAGATTTTCATGTGATACATAAACCCACAAATGAAAAACATCTAAGTCACAATTAGATTAGAAAAAGACTTTCACAATATAAAATCTAACAATAAGTTACAACCATATGGATAAGTCCACGCAAAAATGCTAAACATCAACTCCAAAGACTCTTATATTCGGGTTACTCTCCGTCAAGTACTTTGAATACTATTCTGGAGATTCAAACATATTATGCAATTACCATTTGTCTCCATCCAGTCCAGACAGTAATGGTTGCTCACTCTCTCGTTCATCAGAAAATCCATGAAACAATAACTTCATTACATGAGCCTGGGTGGAAAAAAACTTTTCTCTAACAATTTACATTTCCTTTTTCTTTTTATGGATTTCTACTCATCTATAATAGTCTTCAGCTAATTGCCTCAGAAGCTTATCTCACGTCTCTCTGCAAAGAACTTTCCTGTTATTGCCTGATCGGGAAGCAGTGAAAGCCACACTCCAGTGTCAGCGCCATTCTCAGCTGAAACATTACCAGCCCACCCTGTCATAGCAGTCTTCACCCAGCCTGGGCAGAAGCAATTGATGTAAATCTTCTCGCCTTCTGGGCGGTCAGAGAGTATGTTTGCCATTAGCCTGGTATGAGCATTAACGGCGAGTTTTGACATTGAGTAGTCAGTTAATGTCTGAGGCCACCCACCTGATTTCCAAGTGTCCTCTTCAACTTCTTTTAGGAAAGTTTCAATAGTCCTATCAATGAGTTCCTCAGAGAGTGTGTCCAAATCACCTAGTTGTTGTCTCAATGTCGGGTTCTCAAGTCTCTGTCAGGGGAAACTAAATTAATGCTTAGTACAGATCAGAGAATGAGTGGACAACTAAAATCAAATAAATCAACTCTATCACTTCCACTATAATAGCACAGTATTACAAACTGAGATCTTGAGTTTGACATAAACATATATCTATAACCCACAAAAAGTAAATCATTTAAGAAAATTTTTAAGAAATGTATACAAGAATAATTAAAAAACAATACTTTTGACTTAAAATATAACACAAAAACAATATATCAACTATAACATGAGAACAAGAAGGGCAGAGGTTTTCTCAATTAAAAATGGCAGCAAAAGGATTGCAAGTCTTCTGCAAATTCACCCCTTCCCAAATGGAAAGTTTAAATTTCAAGCAAAATAGGCATCAACCTTTGAGAGATAGCAAAATAAATATCTATGCTGCCTTTACTCCTTTTACTCCTTTGTTTAAGGAATAGTCCCCAACAGATTTTGTCAATCCATGCGCCAATAACATCGCTATGAGATAGGCTAATGGGCTGTAGGTTCTCTTTGACAAGGAATACAAAACATAAGCAGAAACATATTCACATAAGATGGAAGAGAAATCGTGATTTACTCACATTGCGTCGGCCATTTAATTTACCGAGCCGAGAACTCACACTAACAATACGAGCACCAGCAGAAGAAGGTCTCATTAAAGGAATCATAGCCTTAATCATACTTTTAGTGCCATAATAGTTGGTAGCGATGACATCCTTGGCAAACTCAACAGAATTATCAGAACCAATGTTATAATTAACACCTGCATTATTAACCTGCAAAATATAAATTTGCATCAAACACATCAATAAAAGAACACATAATGAATCATCAACCAAATGCCAGAACGATGCAAATAGCTTTAGATTACCAGAATATCTATGCCACCATATTTTTCCCGTATCCACTCGCAGAACTCTTCGATTGATGATGGTTCTAAGACATCGAGTTGATGAACATCTACATTGAAACCTCCTTCTTGCAAGACCTTGGCTGCTTCAAGGCCAACACTTGTGTCTCTCGATGTAAGTATAACCGTTAATCCATGCCCTGCAAGTTGTCTGGCGATCTCGAATCCAATTCCTCTGTTAGCACCCGTCACCACAGCCACAGTATCCGAAGACCACCACCTACAATGAACATACCCATAAAAAAAATAAACAATTTTCAAGAAACCCAGATAAAAAAATTTAAGGAAACAGAAAGTAAAAACAAAGAAGCAAGGTTTTAAAAGATGGGTACCTCTGGTGGTCGGAGTAGGGAATAGTGCGGAGGAGGGAGACCTCTTGAAGTCTCTTTTCTCTTCTCTCCTTCGCCTTTGCTTTGCCTGTCATTTCCTTTGGGTTTGGAAGATTCGAAAAGAAAGAAAGAAAGAAAGAAAGATTAGATAGGTTAGCTCGCCCTCTATCTCTTTTGTTTTTTCACTAATTGAAGCAAATTCTGGTTCAATGTGCAGGCACTGCCACGTTGTAGGTCAAATGCTTCTAATCTCTAATTTAGGTCAAGATTTCCCAATTTTCCGGCCACTTTCTTAGCCTTTTGAAAGTGAGGATGCGGTTGCCAATTTTTCTCTAATCTCCATACACTAATAACTAATTGATGATGATACAATAGTCGAAGCATCTTCCAATCTACTCATTTTATATTCGCCGAGACTATTTTACCCTAATCATAAAATTACTCTAAACACTATATATATATATATATATATATAATATATATAATATATATATATATATATATATATAATATATATACATCTCCAATCTACTCATTTTTTATTCGCCGAGACTATTTTACCCTAATCATAATTACTCTAACACATATATATATATATATATATATTATTATATATATATATTAGAACCGAAACGAACAAAACAAATTGTAACTTTCCGCACCATTGATATATCAAACTAACTAACCCTAATTAACAAGAACTCTTAGATATATATTACTTAAAAAGTTTTGAATTTGAATATTTTTTAGGTGCTATTACGGTGGTCATTAGATTCTTATTTAGTTAATAGTTTCAAGGTCCCGAAAGATTAGTTAAATACGCATAAACTAGTCTGAATCCCTCCGATCATTAAAAAAGAAAAAAAATTCAAACTAAATCCTCAATTAATCTCTTTTTATCTCATTTTTTATTATACAAAAGCAAGGATCGGCATTGATGGCAATGGAATTGGAAGGTACCGGATTGGGGTGTTTGTGTTTGACTCACTCCGTTTGGTTCAAAATTTGGGGTTTGAGAAAAGTTTTTTGAAAAAAAGTTAAAAAAAAGTTAAATTGGGCGGGTATTCAATGTAGGATTTATAAATTAATAAATGTCTCTTATGTTTTTTTTCTTTACAAAATACCCCAATAATAAAACATTAAAAGTTAACAAAAATACCCACAATCCACCCTCAAATACCCCCAATCGGCCACACCACACGAGGTGGCCGGAGTCACCTTATCGCGTATGAGCTGGCTGGATCTTGCCAGTCTGCGCCGACGGCCAGATCTGGCCGTTCAATCTGGCCGTGAACGGCCAATCTAGCCGTATTTGCTCCCAACGTGGCCAACAAATGTCGTTGTTGATGGTCAACTGTTCGGCCAAAGATCTGGCCGTCAACGCCGATCTTTGGCCTTAGATCTGGCCGGAGGCTAGATCGACGCACTACATGCCAGATTCAGCCGGTAGTCGCCCATCCTACCAGATTCCCCATTTTCCGTGGTGATGACCGGAATCTGGTAAATGTGGATTGTTGGGGTGTTTTTTGTAATTTTTAAAAAAATATTTAGGGGTATTTAATTAATTAACAAATTTAGAGGGTTTAAAAAAATTGAATAATATTGAAAGTAGTATTCCAAAATGAGAGTTTTTGGATATTTTACTATTTAACTTTTTTGAGAATACTAAAAGTATTATCCCATTTGAACCAAACGAAGCCTCAGTTTTTCATTTTTCCTGACTGCGTTTGCGGTTTCATTTTGGTTTGATAGGAAGCTAGTAAATTGACGACTCCTTTGTATTACTATATTTTATAAACATTTTACTATTGTCTCAAAACATCTTTAGAAGACAATTATCATAACAATCTCTCATTTTTTTTGTACGAAAAATGAATTTTTTCCAAATAGAAATAGATCAATAATATTTTTACCAGACGTAATTTGTGTGTTATAATATTGTCCTATCCCAATCCAACCTTGTAAAAATTAGTTTAATCTAATGCGTTGTGTAAACGCACCATAGAGCCCATTATTTAACGCGCTTTCAACGTTCAGTCTTTTCCAACAAGTTCATATATACTGGATTAACCTACAGAATGCTGGAATAACCCACAGACTGTCGGTAATACATAAGCATAATACTACAACTTATATCATTTCTTATACAACATTTTTGGGTGTTTGTTTGAGTTTATAAAAATTAGCTTATAAGTAAAAATTAGCTTATAAGCTAATTTTAGTTTATAAGCATTTGAAATTTTAAGCAATTTCGTGTTTGGTTAAAATACTTATAAGTGACTGATAAGTAGTTGACGTGTTTAGTAAAATGTGGCTTATAAGTACATTTTATTATAAAATGACTAAAAAATGTACTATATTAAATAAGGGTATACTATGAAATTTTAAAATTAAATAAGGATAATATGGTAATATACTTGGTCAAACTAGCTTATAAGCAGAGTGCTTATAAGCCAAAAAAAAAAGTACCTCTCCCTCAACTTATTTTTTTTGGATTATAAGCTTAACTTATAAGCTTAAAAAAGTTATAAACAAACAGATCGGTTTAATTTTAGAACTTATAAGCTAGTTTGACCGGCTTATAAGCTTAGACAAACACTCCCATAATGTGATAAAAGATAATTAACTAATTTTAAATTAAAAATAAATTTTCACATAATTTATCTTTTGTCACATTATAATATAGAAGAAATGTTATATGAAAATGATATCCGTATAGTATTACTCAATACATAAACATTTTCCTTTGTTTATTTATTGTCATTAATGTTAAAAGCTTCCAATTTAAGAAATTATATCAGAAACTTTGATATCTCCACTGGCAAAAATACTATGTTTACAACTCAATCTCACAACATTATCTTACAACCCTATCGTGTTAGCAAAGCTTGCACTACCAAACCAATTGATGACTTTAACTAAATATGAACAGTTGTTCCTAAGAGATAAACAATCGTTATTTAGAGACGAACTACCATTTATTTATAAGAAATATTTGTTTTATTAATAAGGAACAACCATTCCTTGTAAAAAAAATGATTATTCCTTATGAAGAAACAATCATTTTTTATAAAGGAATGGCCGTTCATCCTCAAGAATGACGGTTTGTGTCTAGTTAAAATTATTTAATGTTTTAAGTGTTATGCGATACAACTATTATGTTAGGATTTTAATAGAAGGTTATGAGATTGAGTTGTGGCTGTAATATTACTCCTCTCCAAGTTACCTACGTTAATATTATTGATTTTAAAATTTTTAAGAAGCACGGGTGTCTTTAATGGTGGCTCCATCTAGAAGTTAGGAGCTTTATGTAGAACGTCATTGCATATGTAATGTAATTTTATCTTCATTTCAATTTTCAAAATCATATCATGCTACACGACGTCGTTAATACCGAGATCACTATATATATATATATATATATAATTTAAACGTTGTCCAGTAATTTGTCTCTCCTTTCTTTCACTCCAAGGTACACTGAACTTTCAGTAGTCGCTGTTCTTCATCCAAACGTGGGTACGTTCTTTCTTCTCAATTTCAATTATTTTTAGTTATTATTGTATACATATATATTAAACTTTAATTCTATCAGTGATAGCTAATTTAATTACTATCTTTCGTCGAGTATAAAATTTATTTCGATTGTAAATAAATTTTATACTTCATGGAGCAACTTCTATATTGAGCCTTAGTATTTATGTTTCGATTTCCAACTCCTTTGGACTGTGTTTTTAGTCTACAGTTTAAAGATCGTATGGCTTAATCAACTAAAGATAATGTATTTAACAGTCGTAACTTTGACAGGAAAATATGAGGAATTGTTCTCAACCATGGTTGATTTTACTAGTCAATCTTCTTATGGCATTAAGCATACAATACTCACAAGCATATTCCAGTCAAAGTAAGATCAAATCTGCTGTTTTTCTGTCACCAAAATTTGTGCTAGGACCAGGATCTGTTGAGAATAAATTTTATTACAACATCGATTTTCCAAGAGGTCATGTAGTTCTCAAGAGTTTCAACGCAGAAGTAATTGATGAGACAGGGAACCCTGTTCCCCTTCATGAAACCTATCTCCACCATTGGGTTGTTGAAAGATACTATGGACGTGTTGACTACACCGGTAACAGGGATCTTCGTGAATCAGATTATAAGCCTGTGAGAAATGCTGGCATATGCCAGAAAGGCGTTCTTGGGCAGTATTTTGGCCTTGGATCTGAAACAAGAGGAACAGAAACATATATTCCAGATCCTTAAGGGATAGAAATTGGAAATCCTGCTGAAATTCCAGAAGGATATGAGGATAGATGGATGCTCAACGTCCACGCAATTGATACACGAGGTGTGGAAGATAAGTTGGGATGCACAGAGTGCAGATGTGATCTGTATAATGTGACGGTGGATGAGTATGGACGAACTTTGAGGCCAGATTATACCGGAGGTTTGCTATGTTGTTATGATCATACACAGTGCCGGGTGAGACATGGTTTTGAAGGTGGAAGGAGGAGCCTCTACTTGAGATATACCGTGAAGTGGGTTGATTGGGATAGTTCCATTGTGCCCGTTAAAATCTATATATTTGATGTCACTGATAATTGGAAAAGGTTTAAGTATCCTAAAATATTAATAGTAGGTATTTATATCAAATACCTAATGTAAAAAATTCCACAAGCCTGATATTAAGTCGTAATTTTAAGTAGGAGAACAATATTTTCACCCAACGTTTACCGGAATGACACTTTTTACCCCCGTTATGTTTCGTTAGCAAAAGACTATAAGATGAAAATGATTTAATAATTTTCTTTTATTATTTGATGTCACGTCAATCACAACATACTCACTCTTAAATACGAAATTATTAATATACCCTTAATTATATTTTAAAAAAATATAAATTAAATTTATCCCTCTATTTTTATAAAAATAATGTTTTAAATCAATGAAGTACAATTAGTTTTTAAATTTTGAAATTGCCAATATCCTTGTGGTTGTTGCAACGCATTTATATTTAAATTTTGTCAATTTAAATCCAAATAAAACTAAGTATCAACTTACTATATTCTTAAATAAAAATCCAAATCGTAAATTACAGTGCATATGTAAGTAATTTTGTAAACAAACCTAATAAAAATTGCGAATTCAATAAAAAGAAAGAATTTTTCCAGTTCTCATTCATTTCTTAAAATCCAAAAAGTTTGCTTTCAACCTCCCGTTGCTAGCTCCTTGAAGCTTGTCCTTTGCTTTCTAGAATTTCAAACTTCTTCACAATCCTTTGCTCTTGCGCCAAGAAAGGTCGAATTTGATCTATTATTTTCAGTCAAAGTTACCATCTTCATACCTTTGCAACGCCTTAAGAGGCTATTCTTCTATTTAACTTACGTCACCGAATTGCTTCACCTTATCTTCACTGAGTTTTGGAGTTGCCTAAAACAATCCAGAATTGCATAAAAAATCAGCTTGAATGAAGCTTACACATATATGAATTGTTATTTATCAGTATAGAGAATAAAAAATAGAAAAATAATGTATGTTCTAAAACAAGTTAGTGGTAGAAAAGAACAAAGATGAAGTTCATACGCAGTACAAGGCTCTGCTGCTCACGCGACAGAGTATGATTAACAGGCTTCCGCCCAATTAAGAGTTCCAGCGGACAAGACCAAAGCTCTAAAACACACTCTTTGCACTCATTGTCTATCATAGCGTATCAGCAATCCAAAATCAATATTAAGGCCGGAGTATTTATAGGTGCTTCAGGAAAAAAAAAAAAGACATAATTTTCCAAACCAAGGTTTCAAGTATACTAGTCAGTCTGACTCTTTAGCTATTTTTCATCACTTATAACTTCACTTCTCCAGGAGGGGTTTGATAGTTTCTGATTACTGTAAGCAAAACCAAACACTATTAAGTCATATGAAAAGATACCGGGACACGTCAAAAGTAGCTAATATGCAAAATGTTCTGCATGTACCATCTCTATCTTGATAACACGTTTGATGAGAAGACTATGATAGTATGATGTATATCTAAAAAATGAGGATCTACAAATTGCAAAGTCAAATCTTTGATTACCATGGGATTACTCTAGAATTAGGTTGCAGATACAAAACTTTTCTACTTTTTTTCTCAAAAATATTCCTCATTGCACTAGTTCTAGAATTTCTGAGGACCTTGGGAGGCAAATATACACTAGCTTCCATTTGCAATTCATGGTAAGTTTGGCCACTATTAACTCAGAAACTGCTCAATGAATTTATTTGCACAGTAAAACATTTTGTTATCATATCACATGTTCAACCTACAACGTTAAATTTTTGACACAAATTTTTCTGCTGCTGCTGCTGATATGATTGGTATTAGTGAGAAGAAGAGGAGGCTATAGATTTAGTAGAGTCAATTAGGGCTTTGTTTGTGGAAAACATGATCGAGCATATGGTGGGATACTACAATATATCCAGTGCGGTAATTATCAAACACTTAGAATGCGGAAACAATAGTAAGAAATCCAAATAAGATGCAACGATCAACAAATGAGGAGATAATCAAAATATAGTGGGACAAAAATAAACAACACAATGAAAACACAAATTAATGGATTAGAGGATATTATACCTAATCCGCAGGTAGTGATAATCCTCGCTGTAGTTCACACATTTCAAAGAAACCCTAGATTTTTCTCCACACGATCTCTTTCTTGCCAGTCGCCAACCGAAGCCGCCACTCGCCAACCCTAAGTCGTAGTCGCTGAGAACAAGGAGAAAAGGAAAATGATTTTCGTTAGTTGGCAACCCTAAGTCGGCAGTCGCCAACCCTAAGTTGCCAGTGCTTCAATTACGGAATAGGGCGAGTTACAGAGAACAAGAAGAAAAGGCTCTCCCCTTTTTTTCAAAGTACTTTAGTGGGACAGCGGCAACCATTCAGGCGAGTTCAATTTAAATTTTTGATTTTTAGAGTCTATGTAAATAGACCATCTTACCTTTCTTCAGAACGGATTTGCCTAATGGAGCATAACGGTGGATGAGAAGGTCGTCGCAAATGCATGGGTGGGACAGTGTCGCCAAACAGGTGGGAAAAGTCGTTCTCCTTTTAAATTGAACAAAATACAATCGTTCTCGTAATGAGTAATCCATTAAAAATCATCCAAAATATGTTTTATACTATGTGATAGGGTGGGAGCCCATCAAGAATAATCCCGGATTGAGTGCCGTAAGTGAATTATATGAAAGCAACGACAACAATAAACCGAAGGAAGTTCAAATTTGGATCGATATTTGTGATTGTTCTTGCTCGGTTGACATTAGTGTAAAAGCTCCATTTCAGTTGGCTTTCTCCTTTGTCCAATCATCTTGAGTGGCCATGATCTCGACATTTATCAACAAAATTACCGCCGTTAAAGAACGTTTAGCAATTAGAGACGGCAAATACATATCATTTAAGTCAATATCGTGGGGTTTTAGACTTTTAGTACTCATTACTTCTTTGTTTAAAAAAAGTTCAACCCATGTTCGGGTTTTTCTTAACTTAATGTGGTAGAGGCCATTTCCGTCAATTGTTTTTTTCTAATTTTCTCTTCAAGGGGCCAACTTTATTGACGTAGTTAAAAGAGGAAGACTTTTTCCCATCCAAGGTTTTCTCTAACGACATTTCCACTTAAAAATTTCAAATACAATTTTCACCAAAGTTAATATTTCGTTATTATTTAAAGTAGATCTGATTGATTCTAGTAGCAAAAATTCTTTCAATCACCACTATTTAAACCTCCAATTCCTATCTACAAAACTCCTATTAATCTAATATCTGATTATCGATTATAGTCATAACAAAGTTAAAGTTTCTTGTTTTTGTTGATTTTTAATTGATTTTGATGAAAATATTCAATCAATCACCACATTCGATCCATCGGCCTCCACTATACTAAAAAACCTCTTATCCTGGTTTGATAATTCTTTGAATGCTGATTGAAAAAGTAAAATATATTTTATATATTAACGAAATATAAATATTAGATGAAAAAGTAGTATTTTAAAACTTTTCAGAGAGAAAAAGTTAAGGAAACCTTGGTGGGAAAAATAGTTTACTCTAGTTAAAATATGATTGATTGATGTTCGCTTCGGGAAAAAAGTTAAAAGGACAAGAACGTCATTGCTAGGTCTTCTTGAGTTGTCAAATCTCCTTGCCATGCAAATGTGACATTTTCTTTCGGTACGTTTGGTAACAAAATTTGGTTCACTATCATCAAATATTATTCTATTTTTTTAAAACCCTTAAATTTATAATTTAATAATAACACAATTTTTTTAAAAATTAATAAAAATACCCCAATAACCTATATTTACTAGATTTCAGCTATCACTATCGGAAGATGCTAAAATCAATATAATGATACATACTGACTAATCTAGTCGATAGTACGTCGATCTAGCTTTTTTCCGCAGATTCACAGTAAATGGTCAGAAAAGACCAAATTTGACTATAGACAGTCATCAAAGACAGACAAGATAGATCGTCGTTGACCAGACCATTGTTGATGATCAAATGTGGCCAAATCTGGCCATCAAGCCGTAAATCTAATATTTTTCTACCAGATTCATCATGAATTAGTAAAAAAAGGATATAATCTGCACGAACGGTAAGATTCAGTCAATCATACACCGATACGATAACTCTGACTACCCTTTGACGGTGGTGACCGACTATCCATAAATGAGTGAATAAAAATATTTTTGTTAACTTTAAATATTTATTATATAAATATTAATAAATAAAACAAATATAAGAGGTATTTATTAATTTTCAAAACGCATTGTTATAATCACCTAATTAACTTCTTTTCAAAATATTATCCTCAAACCTATAAAATAACGAACAGACGTGGCTGACCGCATGCTCAATGTATCCTCCATGTCAGTTATTACTATTAATACCCTCTGAAGACAGCACAGCCAAACAGAGCAAGCTCAACTTCAAAGGTTGTATACTTCAAATTTTCCGCTCACCAAGCGTGGTTGTTAGCGGTTGCAGTTCCTCATCAACTTCGGGTTCGTTTATTTTCTCAGTTACTTTTTTTTTTTTTTTTCCTCTATCTTTCATAGTAGTATTTTAGTCCGAAAAAACAATCATTGATTGATTTATAACTATCAGAAGATCACGTTTTCAACTTTTGCTTTTACGGCGTTTTTGAGAAGTTTTAATTTCTTCTCCTTGTACAGAATATTTGTTTGCTTTATGACCCAGTCGCACGTATGAGATAATTATTTTTTTCTTTGTCAATCAATGAAATCATAAAAACCATCTGTTATCATTCGCTCTTTGTAGTATTTTGTTATGGTAATCTTTATGTGGAAAAGTCTACAGAATAAAGGAGTTTTTGTCAAAGAGAGCTGGAGTTCTTACAGAAATTTTGGTTTATATAGAAATTACAATTCTACGAATAGGTTTAGATTTCCCGAAATAATGAAGCTTGAGTTCAGATACAAAAGTAATTGGTGTTACTTGAATTTATAATTTCCTGTCCATTGCGCATATTTTAAATGGCATACAGTTGTGATTACCTGTTCAATCACGAGGAATTTTTTTTAGTTTTTATTTTTATGTTTCTTATGGATTGATAAATAATATATAATCTTCGTATTGATTTTGCTTAGTCATTTTATTTTGGATTTCAAACTCCATTACAGTGTTTTTGAGTCTGCAAAAGAGATAGTCTAACTGTAGATAATGAATTCTACAGGTAACTATGAGAACTTGTTACAAAGAATGGTGGATTTCACCAGCCATTCTTCTGCTGGCAATGAGTTTGCTATTCACAAGAATATTATTGATTTTAAAATTTTTAAGAAGCACGGGTGTCTTTAATGGTGGCTCCATCTAGAAGTTAGGAGCTTTATGTAGAACGTCATTGCATATGTAATGTAATTTTATCTTCATTTCAATTTTCAAAATCATATCATGCTACACGACGTCGTTAATACCGAGATCACTATATATATATATATATATATATAATTTAAACGTTGTCCAGTAATTTGTCTCTCCTTTCTTTCACTCCAAGGTACACTGAACTTTCAGTAGTCGCTGTTCTTCATCCAAACGTGGGTACGTTCTTTCTTCTCAATTTCAATTATTTTTAGTTATTATTGTATACATATATATTAAACTTTAATTCTATCAGTGATAGCTAATTTAATTACTATCTTTCGTCAAGTATAAAATTTATTTCGATTGTAAATAAATTTTATACTTCATGGAGCAACTTCTATATTGAGCCTTAGTATTTATGTTTCGATTTCCAACTCCTTTGGACTGTGTTTTTAGTCTACAGTTTAAAGATCGTATGGCTTAATCAACTAAAGATAATGTATTTAACAGTCGTAACTTTGACAGGAAAATATGAGGAATTGTTCTCAACCATGGTTGATTTTACTAGTCAATCTTCTTATGGCATTAAGCATACAATACTCACAAGCATATTCCAGTCAAAGTAAGATCAAATCTGCTGTTTTTCTGTCACCAAAATTTGTGCTAGGACCAGGATCTGTTGAGAATAAATTTTATTACAACATCGATTTTCCAAGAGGTCATGTAGTTCTCAAGAGTTTCAACGCAGAAGTAATTGATGAGACAGGGAACCCTGTTCCCCTTCATGAAACCTATCTCCACCATTGGGTTGTTGAAAGATACTATGGACGTGTTGACTACACCGGTAACAGGGATCTTCGTGAATCAGATTATAAGCCTGTGAGAAATGCTGGCATATGCCAGAAAGGCGTTCTTGGGCAGTATTTTGGCCTTGGATCTGAAACAAGAGGAACAGAAACATATATTCCAGATCCTTAAGGGATAGAAATTGGAAATCCTGCTGAAATTCCAGAAGGATATGAGGATAGATGGATGCTCAACGTCCACGCAATTGATACACGAGGTGTGGAAGATAAGTTGGGATGCACAGAGTGCAGATGTGATCTGTATAATGTGACGGTGGATGAGTATGGACGAACTTTGAGGCCAGATTATACCGGAGGTTTGCTATGTTGTTATGATCATACACAGTGCCGGGTGAGACATGGTTTTGAAGGTGGAAGGAGGAGCCTCTACTTGAGATATACCGTGAAGTGGGTTGATTGGGATAGTTCCATTGTGCCCGTTAAAATCTATATATTTGATGTCACTGATAATTGGAAAAGGTTTAATGATTCAACAGAACTCAGCACAGAGCATGATTGCAAGGTAAATGGTTTTGGTTTATTTGAGGACATTCTTAGAATAGAATTTGGCTCTAATTCCTTCATCATCCATTTTTTAAACATTAGTTCTGTTTTCAAACGGTGGTTAATGATGCAGGTAGAATATGAAGTGGAGCCTTGTAGTGCCACCAATTTGGCTAATGATGAGTGCATTCAGACCAAAAGAATAAGCGTCACAATGACAAATGGTGGTTATCTCATCTATGGCGTTGCCCACCAGCACTCAGGGGGCATAGGCGCTGCTTTATACAGAGAGGTGATTTTAGATCTAATTTTCCATTCCTACTACACGCTTTCTGGTCATTTATTCTACTATGGATACGTCAAGACATGTTTAAAGCGATTTCCTTGATTAAAATTTCATGGTTCTTCAGGATGGAACGGCTATATGCGCTTCAATTCCAGCTTATGGAAATGGGACGGAAGCAGGAAACGAGGCTGGTTACATTGTAGGAATGTCAACTTGTTATCCTCAACCAGGCTCTGTCAAAATAGCAGACGGGGAGACTCTGATTCTGGAATCGAACTACAGCAGCACCCGAGTTCACACAGGAGTCATGGGGCTTTTCTACATTTTGGTGGTCGACCAGGTGGCAGAGCCCAAGCGTATATTACATCTTCCAGTTGAAGTAAGATTTTACTTTCTCCATTGCCAAATAGCTAGTGACTGACAAAAATAGATGTAAATATGCCTGTGAACACGTTTTTAGATACGGGAGATAAATAAACGTAAGCTAAATTATAGATTGATTAATTGTTGCTCATATGGGTGGCAATTGCCTTCTTGATTGTAACAAGGAGATGTAATATTTGTTTGGTTTTTGCAGACGTACAACAACATGAACCGAACTGGTTATGTCTGGACAGCAGTCGTTTTGGTGGGAGTTTTGAGTGTTGCTGTTGCTGTATGGTATCGACGCAGGAACAAGCACGAAGACGAATACCGACCACTTATCATTTGAACTTGTTTCTAGTGCTGATTTTATAATATAAAATATTATGTAGAAATAATTCAACTTCCTTTTTCATGGCTTGGCTTAGCAAAGTACCCTATCTAATTTCTGTATCCTAAAATATTAATAGTAGGTATTTATATCAAATACCTAATGTAAAAAATTCCACAAGCCCTGATATTTAAGTCGTATATATTTTAAGTAGGGAGAACAATATTTTCCCACCCAACGTTTACCGGAATGACACTTTTTTACCCACCGTTATGTTTCGTTAGCAAAAGACTATAAAGATGAAAATTGATTTAATAATTTTCTTTTTATTATTTGATGTCACGTCAATCACCAACATACTCACTCTTAAATACGAAATTATTAATATACCCTTAATTATATTTTAAAAAAAATATAAATTACTAATTTATCCCTCTATTTTTTTATTAAAAATAATGTTTTAAATCAATGAAGTTACAATTAGATTTTTAAATTTTGAAATTGCCAATTTATCCTTGTGGTTGTTGCAACGCATTTATATTTAAATTTTGTCAATTTAAATCCAAATAAAACTAAGTATCAACATTACTATATTCTTAAATAAAAATCCAAATCGTAAAATTACAGTGCATATGTATAAGTAATTTTGTCAATTCAAACCTAATAAAAATTGCGAATTCAATAAAAAGAAAGAAGTTTTTCCAGTTTCTCATTCATTTCTTAAAATCCAAAAAGTTTTGCTTTCAACCTCCCGCTTGCTAGCTCCTTGAAGCTTGATTTTCCTTTGCTTTCTAGAATTTCAAAACCTTCTTCACAATCCTTTGCTCTTGCGCCAAGAAAGGTCGAATTTGATCTATTATTTTCAGTCAAAGTTACCATCTTCAGTACCTTTGCAACTGCCTTAAGAGGCTATTCTCTCTATTTAACTTAACGTCACCGAATTGCTTCACCTTATCTTCACTGAGTTTTGGAGTTGCCTAAAACAATCCAGAATTGCATAAAAAATCAGCTTGAATGAAGCTTACACATATATGAATTTGTTATTTATCAGTATAGAGAATAATAAAATAGAAAAAATATGTATGTTCTAAAACAAGTTAGTGGTAGAAAAGAACAAAGATGAAGTTCATACGCATGTCACAAGGCTCTGCTGCTCACGCGACAGAGTATGATTAACAGGCTTCCGCCCAATTAAGAGTTCCAGCGGGACAAGACCAAAGCTATAAACATCACTCTTTGCACTCATCTGTCTTATCATAGCGTATCAGCAATCCAAAATCAAATATTAAGGCCGGAGTATTTATAGGTGCTTCAGGAAAAAAAAAAAAAGACATAATTTTCCAAACCAAGGTTTCAAGTATACTAGTCAGTCTGACATTCTTTAGCTATTTCTTTCATCACTTATAACTTCACTTCTCCAGGAGGGGTTCTGAAATAGTTTCTCGATTAACTGTAAGCAAAACCAAACACTATTAAGTCATATGAAAAGATACCGTGACACGTCAAAAGTAGCATAATATGCAAAATGTTCCTGCATGTACCATCTCTATCTTGATAACACGTTTGATGAGAAGATCTATGATAGTATGAATGTATATCTAAAAAAATGAGATATCTACAAATTGCAAAGTCATAAATCTTTGATTACCATGGGATTTACTCTAGAATTAGGTTGCAGATACAAAATCTTTCTAACATTTTTTTCTCAAAAATATTCCTCATTGCCACTAGTTCTAGAATTTCTGAGGACCTTGGGGAGGCAAATATCACACTAGCTTTCCATTTGCAATTCATGGTAAGTTTGGCCACTATTAACTCAGAAACTAGCTCAATGAATTTATTTGCAGCTAAAACATTTTGTTATCATATCACATGTTCAACCTACAACGTTAAATTTTTGACACAAATTTTTCTGCTGCTGCTGCTGATGATGATTGGTATTAGTGAGAAGAAGAGGAGGCTATAGATTTAGTAGAGTCAATTAGGGCTTTGTTTGTGGAAAACATGATCGAGCATATGGTGGGAATACTACAATATATCCAGTGCGGTAATTAATCAAACACTTAGAATGCGGAAACAATAGTAAGAAATCCAAATAAGATGCAACGATCAACAAATGAGGAGATAATCAAAATATAGTGGGACAAAAATAAACAACACAATGAAAACACAAATTAATGTGATTTAGAGGATATTATACCTAAATCCGCAGGTAGTGATAATCCTCGCTGTAGTTCTACAATTTCAAAGAAACCCTAGATTTTTCTCCACACGATCTCTTCTCTTGCCAGTCGCCAACCGTAAGCCGCCACTCGCCAACCCTAAGTCGCTAGTCGCTGAGAACAAGGAGAAAAGGAAAATGACTTTTCGTTAGTTGGCAACCCTAAGTCGGCAGTCGCCAACCCTAAGTTGCCAGTGCTTCAATTACTGAGAATAGGGCGAGTTACAGAGAACAAGAAGAAAAGGCTTCTCCCTTCTTTTTTTCAAAGTACTTTAGTGGGACACGTGGCAACCATTCAGGCGAAGTTTCAATTTTTAAATTTTGATTTTTAGAGCTTCATGTAAATAGACCATCTTACCTTTCTTCAGAACGGATTTGCCTAATGGAGCATAACGGTGGATGAGAAAGTGTCGTTTCGAAATTGCATGGGTGGGACAGTGTCGCCAAACCTATGGTGGGAAAAAGTCGTTCTCCTTTTAAATATTGAACAAAAATACAATCGTTCTCGTAATGAGTTAATCCATTAATTAATCATCCAAAATATGTTTATACTATTGTGATAGGGTGGGAGCCCATCAAGAATAATCCAGGATTGAGTGCCGTAAGTGAATTATTTATGAAAGCAACGACAACATATAAACCGACAGGAGAGTTCAAAATTTGGATCGATATTTGTGATTTGTTCTTGCTCGGTTGACATTAGTGTAAAAGCCTCCATTTTCAGTTGGCTTTTCTCCTTTGTCCAATCTTATCTTGAGCTGGCCATGATCCTGACATTTATCAACAAAATTACCGCCGTTAAAGAAACGTTTAGCAATTAGAGACGGCAAATACAATATCATTTTAAGTCAATATCGTGGGGTTTTAGACTTTTAGTACTCATTACTTTCTTTGTTTAAAAAAAGTTCAACCAATGTTCGGGTTTTCTTAACTTAATGTGGTAGAGGCCAATTTTCCGTCAATTGTTTTTTTCTAAATTTTCTCTTCCAAGGGGCCAACTTTATTGACGTAGTTAAAAGAGGACGACTTTTTCCCATCCAAGGTTTTCTCTAACGACATTTTCCACTTAAAAATTTTCAAAATACAATTTTTCTACCAAAAGTTAATATTTCGTTATTATTTAAAGTCAGATTCTGATTGATTCTAGTAGCAAAAATTCTTTCAATCACCACTATTTAAACCTCCAATCTCCTATCTACAAAACTCCTATTAATCTAATATCTGATTTCTTATCGATTATCAGTCATAACAAAGTTAAAGTTTCTTGTTTTTTGTTGATTTTTAATTGATTTTGATGACAAATATTCAATCAATCACCACCATTCGATCCATCGGCCTCCACTATACTAAAAAACCTCTTATCCTGGCTTTTGATAATTCTTTGAATGCTGATTGAAAAAGTAAAATATATTTTATATATTAACGAAATATAAATATTAGATGAAAAAGTAGTATTTTAAAACTTTTCAGATGAAAAAAAGTTAAGGCAAACCTTGGTGGGAAAAATAGTTTACTCTAGTTAAAATATGATTGATTGATAGTTCTGCTTCGGGAAAAAAGTTAAAAGGACAGAACGTCATTGCTTAGGCTCTATATCTTGAGTTGTCAAATCTCCTTGCCATGCTAAATGTGACATTTTCTTTCGGCTACGTTTGGTAACACAAAATTTTGGTTCACTATCATCAAAATATTATTCTATTTTTTTAAAACCCTTTAAATTTATTAATTTAATAATAACACAATTTTTTTTAAAAATTAATAAAAATACCCCAATAACCTATATTTACTAGATTTCAGCTATCACTATCGGAAGCTAGCTAAAATCTAATATAATGATACATTACTGACTAAATCTAGTCGATAGTACGTCGATCTAGCTTTTTTCAGCCAGATTCACAGTAAATCTGGTCAGAAAAGACCAAATCTTTGACTATAGACAGTCATCAACGACAGACAAGATATGATCGTCGTTGACCAGACCATTGTTGATGATCAAATGTGGCCAAATCTGGCCATCAAGCCGTAAATCTAATATTTTTCTACCAGATTCATCATGAATTTAGTAAAAAAAGGATATATCAATGCACGAACGGTAAGATTCAGTCAATCATACACCGATACGATAACTCTGACTACCCTTTGACGGTGGTGACCGACTATCCATATATAATGAGTGAATTAAAAATATTTTTGTTAACTTTAAATATTTTATTATATAAATATTTAATAAATAAACAAATATAAGAGGTATTTTATTAATTTTCAAAACGCATTGTAATAATCACCTAATTTAACTTCTTTTCAAAATATTATCCTCAAACCTATAAAATAACGAACAGACGTGGCTGACTCGCATGCTTCAATGTATCCTCCATGTCAGTTATTACCTATTAATACACTCTGAAGACAGCACAGCCAAACAGAGCAAGCTTCAACTTCAAAGGTTGTATACTTCAAATTTTCCGCTCACCAAGCGTGGATTGTTAGCGGTTGCAGTTCCTCATCAACTTCGGGTTCGTTTATTTTTCTCAGTTTACTTTTTTTTTTTTCCTTCTATCTTTCATAGTAGTATTGTTTAGTCCGAAAAATAACAATCATTTGATTGATTTATAAACTATCAGAAGATCACCCGTTTTCAACTTTTGCTTTTACATGGCGTTTTTGAGAAGTTTTAATTTCTTCTCTCTTGTACAGAATATTTGTTTGTGCTTTATGACCCAGTCGCACGTAATGAGATAATTATTTTTTTCTTTGTCAATCAATGAAATCATAAAAACCATCTGTTAATCATTCGCTCTTTTGTAGTATTTTGTTATGGTAATCTTTATGTGGAAAAGTCTACAGAATTAAAGGAGTTTTTGTCAAAGAGAGCTGGAGTTCTTACAGAAATTTTGGGTTTATATAGAAATTACAATTACTACGAATAGGTTTAGATTTTCCAGAAATAATTGAAGCTTGAGTTCAGATACATAAAAGTAATTTGGTTTTACTTGAATTTATATATTTTCCTGTCCATTGCGCATATTTTAAATGGCATACAGTTGTGATTACCTGTTTAATCACGAGGAATTTTTTTTTTTAGTTTTTATTTTTTATGTTTCTTATGGATTGATAAATTAATATAGTAATCTTCGTATTGATTTTGCTTAGTCATTTGTATTTTTGGATTTCAAACTCCATTACAGTGTTTTTTGAGTCTGCAAAAGAGATAGTCTAACTGTAGATAATGAATTTCTCACAGATAACTATGAGAACTTGTTACAAAGAATGGTGGATTTCAGCAGCCATTCTTCTGCTGGCAATGAGTTTGCCATATTCACAGGCATATTTGAATGAAAATAAGATCAAAACTGCAGTTTTTCTATCACCAAAATTTGTGCTGGGACCTGGATCTGTTGAGAACAGATATTACCACAATATCGACTTTCCAAGGGGTCATATTGCTGTCAAGAGTTTCAATGCAGAAGTAATTGACGAGGCAGGGATTCCTGTTCCCCTTCATGAAACTTATCTGCACCATTGGGTTGTTGCAAGATACTATGGACGTGTAGAATACAATCGCAACAGGGAGCTTCGTGAGTCAGATAACATTAAGGTGAGAAATGATGGCATATGCCAGAAAGGTGTTCTTGGGCAGTATTTTGGCCTTGGATCTGAAACACGAGGAACAGAAACACACATCCCGGACCCTTATGGAATAGAAATTGGTAATCCTGCCGAAATTCCTGAGGGCTATGAGGAGAGATGGCTGCTTAATGTCCATGCAATTGATACACGAGGTGTGGAAGATAAATTGGGTTGCACTGAATGCAGGTGTGATCTTTATAATATTACAGTGGATGAAATTGGCCGACGTTTGAGGCCAGATTATACTGGAGGTTTGCTATGTTGTTATGATCAGACTCAATGCAGGGTGAGACATGGCTTTGAAGGTGCCAGGAGGAACCTCTACTTGAGATATACTGTGAAGTGGGTTGATTGGGGTAGTTCCATTGTGCCCGTTAAAATCTATATATTTGATGTCACTGATAAGTTGAAGAGGTTTAATGATTCAACAGGACTCAGCACAGAGCATGATTGCCGGGTGAGTGAATTCTTTTTACGCAAATCTCATCCTTGAGAAAGAATGAAATTCTTTTGAATAATTTTGGACATTCCATGGAATTGAATTTGACTTTACTTATCTTCATCAGCTATTGCTCTATTTATTATATTTTGAAATCTTGAAAATATCATTAGCCAAATAAAACTGAGTTTTTTTTTTTTTTTTTCGTTTTCTCCTCCCATGTCCTTTAATGTATTAATGGTAAAATATGTACTTACTTAATTGGTAAAGTCTCTTGAGGTTGTTCACACAAAGGTTGGGGGGTGTGAGAGGGATGGGGTTTACATTGCATACTCATTGATGCACTGGTGATTGTTCACACAAAGGTTGGTGAGTGGGGGTGGGGGGAGAAGGATGGGAATGCAAATGAATCCCCTTAACAACACCGTTGGATTATATCCTTAAGGAGGGACTTTCATTAGAGATAAACTTTTAATTATTGTAGAAACATTTGCACATTCTCAGAATGCATTCATTAATGATTAACCTGTCTAATAGCATGGAAATGAATCCACCCTTCATATATGAGACCTAACACTGAATGCCTTCAAGTTTGTTACTGGTGTTTTTGTTAGTTCACATTTTTTATAAATATCGAAACTAATGGGAATATATGTAATGCAGGTTGAATATGACATTGAGCCTTGTAGTGCCACCAATTTGGCAGATGATGAGTGCATTCACACAAAAAGAATAAGCCTCACCATGCTGACTGGTGGTTATGTCATTTATGGTGTTGCCCACCAGCACTCAGGGGGTTTAGGTTCTGCACTATACCGAGAGGTGATTTTGTTCATTTTTAATTTATCTCGTTTGAATTTCTCTTTTTTTCCATCGGTATGTATAGCATGTGTTAGTTTGATAAGTTATGCTTATTTCCATGATATGATTGTGTGGAAAATACAGGATGGGAAGGCTATATGCTCTTCAATTCCAGCTTACGGAGATGGGGCAGAGGCAGGAAACGAGGCTGGTTACATTGTAGGAATGTCCACATGTTATCCTCAACCGGGCTCTGTCAAGATAACAGATGGGGAGACGTTGATTCTAGAATCTAACTACAGCAGCACCCGAGAACACACGGGAGTTATGGGGCTCTTCTACATTTTGGTTGCTGACCGAGTGCCAGAGCCTGTGCCTTTCTCATATCTTCGCGTTAAAGTAAGATTTTAATGTTCTGATTTCCAAATAGTGATTGCTTATAATACAAATAAATATGCTTATGAATCTAATTATAGATACAGGATACTGGTGATAAATAAACAGGACTGTTTGGAAAGAAGCAAACATTTTAATTTATGGCCAAGACTAATGATTATGTTGGAATAAGTAGTCTGATTGAGGACTCTGGTTTGTTTGATCAATTTTTGCCCATCTGGAGTGGCAATTGTTTAATTTGTTTGGCGACCTTATTAAATTAAAGAAAAGCCATTCTTGATTGTAACAACTGACAATGGGATCTGTTTGGTTTTTGCAGATGTACGACAAAATGAACAGAACTACTTATGTTTGGGCAGCAATGGTTCTGGTGGGACTTGTTGCCGCTGCTGCTGTTGTAAAATATCGATGTAGGAATAAGGGTGAAGATGAATACCAACCAATCATGATTTGAACTTGTTCTCCGAGTTCTAGATGTGTACTGGTAATATACAACAACACATCTTAAAGTCTACCCCTTTTTCTGTAGCTTAGTAATGTATAAATTAACATATTGTTGACTAGATGTAATATTTTCAAGATGTAGTAAAAGTTTGAAGTTACTTTATGAAGCTGTTTCTCTCTTTCATTCATATGATTCCTGAGTTGTGGGGAATGTGTCTGTATCTGAATTATGGTGTTCTCAGTTTTGTTATGTGGTTTGAAATTGAATGTAGGAGATATGATTTATAAATTCAGGAAGGGTGTTATAGGTGTAACTACATTGACAAAATGGAACCTACTTGGCCAAATTGCATGTATGTTTGGTTAGATTTGGATGATATGAAGTAGATGTTAATAAAGATCCACCCAACAAAAATAATTAAACAATCAATTTCGTCCTGTCACCCATTAACGTATTGACGGTGCCGGTGTCCAACGAATGTAGTAGATAATTCTCCAGGATTAACACGTGCCTATTCCCCATTTTGTAATTACAGTGTTCTTCAAGCCTTTTTATTTTTAAACCCGGCCTGTTTTGCATGACAGCATGAGCGATCGAGTATCTTCTTTTAACCAAATATTTTCACTAACAATTTATTTATTTTTCTTTTTAAATCCATCATTAACTTCCTAAAATGTTGTTACGTGTCATCCTTTGGAACTTTGACTCTCCTTTCTCTGACCCACCCGTTCAAAACAAAACACAAGAATTTTCATTTCAATTTCTCTGTAACTGAGAGATCGCTGCTATGCTTGAGAAGCAACAGCTTATATCGAAATTTGACAACATTTGAGGGCAAATGACCGGGGCAGGACACGCGGTGGAACACGTCGGATTACCCAAGATGGAGTCGTCGACCACCTCGACGTCGACCCGGTCCGTTTGTTGTAACCCGGTCAAGGAATCGGGTCCGGTTACCATGGATCATGTACTATTAGCATTGCGGGAAAGCAAAGAAGAGAGAGATATGCGGATTCGGAGCTTGTTTAATTTCTTTGATGCGGCGGATATCGGGTATTTGGATTACGCACAGATCGAGAACGGTTTGTCGGCGCTTCAGATTCCGGCGGAGTATAAGTACGCCAAAGATTTGTTGAAAGTGTGCGATGCGAATAGAGATGGGCGCGTGGACTATCACGAGTTCAAGAGGTATATGGACGATAAAGAGCTGGAGCTTTATAGGATTTTTCAAGCCATCGATGTCGAACACAATGGTTGCATTTTGCCTGAGGAGCTTTGGGATGCTCTTGTTAAGGCTGGTATACATTGCTTTCTATGTTCCATTGCTTCTTCATTCAAGAAATTCATTTACTTTTCAGCTTTATTTAAAGTATTCGATTCGATTTTTGGTATTTAAAGTGGATATTGGCAACATTAGTTACTTAAATTCAACTACTTCAGTCTACATCAAGTAATAAAAGTATGTAAATCTGGTTATCAAGTATTTATAACTGTGGGATAAAAAGAAAAGTTTTGATTTTAATTGATTTTTTTTCCCTGAATGCAACATCTTTGTTTTTTGCTGTTACTTGTTGTGCTAATTGGGAAATTGAGGAGGGGCTGTTACCGGGATTTGTTCAGCCTGATCTTACCTTATCTATATTTGAAGGTTTAATCCGTTTCGGTTTTTTGATAGTCTATGAGATGGAAGTTCTTTTTTAATTGACATTGGCTTGCGATGTGAGGCTCATTTCTGGGGCTCTGCGTGAGGAAGAGAGAGTTTGTCTTGTGTAAAGAACCGGAGTTGGAGAGTTTGGTAATGATGTTACTTTGAAAATTTTGCTCAGTCTTTGCTTTTCTTTTTTGCAATAGAGCTCAAAGGTCAAATCCTGACTGATTGTCTGTCTTTGCCATGTTTCTTTTGGCCATCTCATTCCATTTCCATTTTGCTTTATGAATCCTCTTCTTACTTCTGAAATTGAATATTGACTTTAATTATGTTAAGAGGGTTTAGTTGTGGCTGCCACATCTCTTATTCTGAAGTAGTCATTTATAAGAAGCGAAGGCCATGCTCATGTAGTCAATTGGTATACAAACAATAACGTCTGAATCAAATGTTTATCAGGCCTTGAAATTTTGCTGGAGGACAAAGGGTGAACCGTTTTTACTAGTATCTTGAGTGGAATTGTTTTTGGTCTGTGTGAAGAATCATTAAGCTTCCTTTGGCATTTCTAAAAAGAAGATATGATGTTTGTAATCCCTCATTATTCTTTGTGTTTATATTCCTGTATTCTCAAATTCTAGTAGGACCCCAATCTAGAATTTATATAGAGGTTTGGGGGGTATGAATAATTTTCTTTAATATTACTTAGCAGTTTTGTACAGGCTACAGTGTCTATGTTTCTTTTAACTATTTTCTTTTTCCTTGAATTTACTCCATGCATTTGGTGGTGACCGTTGTATGATTATTTAAATTTATTTCGTGATTGGCTTTTGGTGGAAGCATTTCCTGGTTCATGGATTTTGGTTGTTAGTTTTTTCAATCTTATAAGCCCTGGCAGTTTCTGTTTTCAGGGATTGAAATTAATGATGAGGAACTTGCTCGTTTTGTTGAGCATGTGGATAAGGATAATAATGGAATCATAACCTTTGAAGAATGGCGAGATTTCCTTCTACTCTACCCTCATGAAGTTACTATTGAGAACATATATCATCACTGGGAAAGGGTATGCCTTGTAGATATTGGAGAACAGGCTGTTATTCCAGAAGGTATCAGTAAACATGTCCAGAGAAGCAAATTTTTCATAGCAGGAGGAATTGCTGGAGCTGCTTCTCGTACTGCTACTGCTCCTCTTGATCGCTTGAAAGTGGTTCTGCAAGTCCAGACAGGAAATTCTCGTATTGTGCCTACTATTAGAAAGATATGGAAGGATGAGGGTTTGTTGGGGTTTTTTCGAGGTAACGGGTTAAATGTCCTGAAGGTTGCACCTGAAAGTGCCATAAAATTTTATGCATATGAAATCTTAAAAAATGTAGTTGGAGATATTATGGGGGAAGACAAGGATAATATAGGCCCTTCTGGTAGACTTTTGGCCGGTGGTATGGCAGGTGCAGTGGCACAAGCTGCTATCTATCCATTGGATCTTGTAAAAACTCGGTTACAGACTTGTGCTCTTGAAAGTGGAAAGGCCCCCAAGTTGGGGACCCTAACAAAGGATATATGGGTTCATGAGGGTCCTCGGGCCTTCTATAAAGGTCTTGTGCCTTCTCTTCTTGGGATTATCCCCTATGCTGGCATTGACCTTGCGGTCTATGAAACTTTGAAAGATTTGTCGAAGAGTTACTTTGTTCGTGAGAGTGGTACAATCTCCTCTTTGTTTGTCTGTGCTTTGAACATTTTGTTTTTCTTATTTCAGATTTGTAATTCTGAATATTTGGAGAGTTGCACTCTTAAAAACCTTTATGTTTTCTGTAGAACCTGGACCTCTTGTGCAGCTGGGTTGTGGGACAATTTCAGGAGCTCTGGGAGCAACATGTGTTTATCCATTGCAGGTTATTAGAACCAGGTACGATGTTATGCATGAACAGTGTTTTCTTTGGCAATTGTGCATGTTTTCTGAAGTGGTTATAGCATATCCTATTTACACGATTTTTGAATGTAATGATGTTCTTGCTATCCAGAATGCAAGCTCAACGTTCTAATTCCGCTGCTGCTTTTAAGGGAATGTCTGATGTATTTTGGAGAACCCTTCATAAAGAAGGTTATAGAGGTTTCTACAAAGGAATTTTTCCAAATCTTCTCAAGGTTGTGCCTGCTGCAAGCATTACATACTTGGTTTATGAAGCTATGAAAAAGAGTCTAGATCTCGGCTAGGCAGTGTTCTGGTATTTGCCGGATCACTAGGCTGATTTCTAAGTCGGAGTCAGTGGTAAATTTTATGAGTAAAATAAGCGGAAGTAAACAAGTAGGTGATTTGGTTATTAAAGCAACTATGACAGACTATAGTTCCCCTTTATTGTATGGGGCACATGATTTTTGTAGTCAAGAAGTTCTACTCCAGGCTTACTAAAAACTAACTGTTCAGAAAAAAAAATTATATTATATCATTATATCTGATCACATAGTGACAGGTAACATCTGTTCTATATTCCTTATTCCTTCTCTATTTCTCATTTGCGTACAGTGCCTCCAAAATGAGTAGGAAAATGCAAAACTTTTCTGTTGTTCCCATCACATTTGTTGGCATGGGTATCGAAGTTTATGACAGAAAGTTAAGGACTGTTAAGAGTTGAAATCACAACATGAGATGATTTTGCAGATGTGAAAGCGTATGCATTAATTATGTTTTCTATTTCCATTTATTAATGTTATATGGTCTCTGCGTTTCTGGTTAACCTTGCATCAATAGTAAAGAGTCAACCTAGACAATAGAATCATCATATTAGAACAATATGCAACCTGTGTATAAACATTGCTCCGCCGCCGCGTGGATATTAGATACTTTATAGTGCTGAAATTTCTCCTGTTAGGCACATGAAATGATCAGCTAATCCTTCAATGACCTTTCACATATTGGCGTGTTGTGTTGTTGGTATTTAAATATAAAGGCGGAGAATGGTTGATGGAGGATTCTGTTGACTGTGCAGACGTAGAAATTGTTTACTAAAAAGCAATTTATTAGCTCTATGGTTTGACGATGTCTGGCTGAGTACCAGCATGTGCGTATCATCTTTTGGTTCCCTCGTTGGACTTTAAAACACTTTTTCTTCACCAATTAAAGGTTTCAGGTATCACCATCAGTTGTTTGTATCGATTCTTTTACTAAAATTAGAAACCAAGTTAGGTGCTGGATAATTTATTATCATAGAGGAATTGGCTCTACTTCTTCATCATCCATTCTAAACATTAGTTCTGTTTTCAAATGGTGGTTAATGATGCAGGTAGAATATGAAGGGGCCTTGTAGTGCCACCAATTTGGCTAATGATGAGGGCATTCAGACCAAAGAATAAGCGTCACAATGACAAATGGTGGTTCTCATCTATGGCGTTGCCCACCAGCACTAGGGGGCATAGGCTCTGCTTTATACAGGAGGTGATTTTAGATCTAATTTTTATTCACTACACGCTTTCTGGTCATTTATTCTACTATGGATACGTCAAGACATGTTAAAGCGATTTCCTTGATAAAATTTCATGGTTCTTCAGGATGGAAAGGCTATATGCGCTTCAATTCCAGCTATGGAAATGGGACGGAAGAGGAAACGAGGCTGGTTACATTGTAGGAATGTCCACTTGTTATCCTCACCAGGCTCTGTCAAAATAGCAGAGGGAGACTCTGATCTGGACTGAAATACAGCAGCACCCGAGTTCACACAGGAGTCATGGGGCTTTTCTACCTTTTGGTGGTCGACAGGTGGCAGAGCCCAAGCGTATATTACACTTCCAGTTGAAGTAAGATTTTACTTTCTCCATTGCCAAAGCTAGTGACTGACAAAAATACATGTAAATATGCCTGTGAACACGTTTTTAGAACGGGAGATAAATAAACGCAAGCTAAATTATAGATTGATTAATTTTTGCTCATATGGGTGGCAATTGCCTTCTTGAGTAACAAGGAGATGTAATATTTGTTTGGTTTTGCAGATGTACAACAACATGAACCGAACTGGTATGTTTGGACAGGCGCAGTCGTTTTGGTGGGAGTTTTGAGTGTTGCTGTTGCTGTATGGTATCGACGCAGGAACAAGCACGAAGACGAAACCGACCACTATCATTGAACTTGTTTCTAGTGCTGATTTTTTAATATAAAATATTATGTAGAAATAATCAACTCTTTTTTCACGGCTTGGCTTAGCAAAGTACCCTATCTAACTTCTGTATCCTAAAATATAATAGTAGGTATTATATCAAATACTAATGTAAAATATCCACAAGCCTGATATTAAGTTGTATTCCACCAAGGTTTGGCGAAACGACATTTTCCCACTGGAAAGTTTCAAAATGACACTTTTCCACCACGATATGTTTCATTAGCAAAAGACTATAAAGATGAAAATACCTTTTATTATTTGATTATATATTTTTTATTATTTATTTTGTCATGTTACCCAGTCAATCACCAACATACTCAATCTTAAATACGAAATTATTAACATGCCCTAACTATATATGAAAATATAAATACCAATTTGTCCTCCTTTTTTATAAAATATGTTTTAAATCAATGAAGTTACAATAGATTTTTAAAATTTTGAAATTACCAATTTATCCCTGGTTGCGCAACGCATTATATTTAAATTTTGTCAATTTAAATCCAAATAAAACTAAGTATCAACATTACTATATTCTTAAATAAGAATCAAAATTGTAAAATTACAGTGCATTGTATAAGTAATTTTGTCAATTCAAACCTAAAAATAGCGAATCGAATAAAAGAAAGAAGTTTTTCCAATTTCTCATTCATTTCTTAAAATCCAAAAAGTTTTGCTTTCACCCTCTGCTTTCTATCTCCTTGAAGCTTGATTTTCCTTTGCTTCTAGATTTTCAGAACTTTTCACAATCCTTTGCTCTTCCACCAAGAAAGCTCGAATTGATCATTATTTTCAGTCAAAGTTACCTCTTCAACCTTTGGAACTGCCTTAAGAGGCTATTCTCATTTAACTTAGCGAACAAATTGCTTACACTTACTTCACTGAGTTTTGGAGTTGCCTAAAACAATCCAGAATTGCATAAAAATCAGCTGAATGAAGCTTAACATGTAGAATTTGTTATCTATCAGTATAGAGAATAATAAAATAGAAAAAAAATGTATGTTCAAAACAAGTTAGTGGTAGAAAAGAACAAGATGAGTGTCATACGCATGTCACAAGACTCTGCTGCTCACGTGACAGAGTATGATTAACGGCTTCACCTAGTAAGAGTTCCAGCGGGACAAGACCAAAGCTATAAACATCATTTTTGCACTCACGTCTTATATAGCGTATCTGCAATCCAACAAGGTTTCAAGTATACTAGTCAATCTGACATTCTTTGCTATTCTTTCATCACTTATAACTTCACTTCTCCAGGGGGGTTCTGAATAGTTTCTCGATTAACTGAAGCAAAACCAAGCACTATAAGTCATATGAAAAGATACTGTGACATGTCAAACGTGAATAATTTGCAAAATGTTCCCGCATGTACCATCTCTATCTTGATAACATGTTTGATGAGAAGATCTATGTATTATGAATGTATATCTAAAAAATGAGATAATACAAATTGCAAAGTCTAAATCTTTGATTACATGGGATTTACTCCAGATTAGGCTGTAGATACAAAATCTTCTTACATTTTTTTCTCAAAAATATTCCTTATTGCCTGTAGTTCTAGAATTTATGAGGACCTTGGGGAGGCAAATATCACACTAGCTTTCCATTTGCAATGATGGTAAGTCTGGCCACTATTAACTAGTAAATAGTCAAGAATTTATTGCAGCTAAAATTTGTTTTCATATAAGTGTTCAACCTACACGTTAATTTTTGACATAAATTTTTAGGACTACCTTTTAAAAGAAAATAAGGGCAAAGATGGATTAGGATAAAGTTTAAGCGGAGGGAAGTGGGGGTTGGAGATTAAGGAAATCCAGTGTTTGGATACAACTTTAAATTTGTGAGGATTTTATAAGGAGGAAACAATATTTCAATTAGAAGGTCCTAATTGTTGGCGAATTTTTCTGTGCTGATGATGATTGGTATTAGTGAGAAGAAAAGGAGGCTATAGTTAGTAGAGTCAGTTAGGGCTTGTTTGTGGAAAGCATGATTGAGCAGATGGTGGGAACACTACAATATTCCGGTGCTATATTAATCGAACACTTAGGATGCGGAACAATAGTAAGAATCCAAATAAGAAGCAACGATCAACAAATGAGGAGATAATCAAAAAATAGTGGGACAAAATAAACAACACAATGAAAACACAAAGTAATGTGTTAGAGGAAATTATACCTAAATCCGCAAGTAGTGATAATCCTTGTGTAGTTCTACAATTCAAGAAACCCTAGATTTTCTCACCACGATCTTCTCTTGCCGTCGCCAACCGAAGCGCCACTCGCCAACCCTAAGTCGCTAGTCGCTGAGAACAGGAGAAAAGTAAAATGACTTTTCGTTAGTGGCAACCCTAAGTCGCTAGTGTGAGAACAAGGAGAAAAGGAAAATGACTTTTCATTAGTTGGCAAACCTAAGTTGGCAGTCGCCAGTGCTTCAGTTACTGAGAATAGGGAGATTACAGAGAACAAGGAGAAAGGCTTCTCCCTTCTTTTGTCAAAGTACTTTAGGGGACACGTGGCAACATCAGGACAAAGTTTCAATTTTTAAATTTTGATTTTTAGAGCTTCATGTAAATAACCATTTACCATTCTTCAGAACGAATTTGCCTAATGAAACATAACGATAGATGAGAAAGTGTCGTTTGAAATTGCGATGGGTGGGATAGTGTCATTTCGCCAAACCATTGGTGGGAAAAAGTCTTTCTCCTTTTAAATATTGAACAAAAATACATCGTTCTCGTAATGAGTTAATCCATTAATTAATCATCCAAACGACAATACTAAACTCTTGTGTACAAGACTGGATTAAATTTGCCTATATGTTTATACTATGTGATAGAGTGGGAGCCCATCAAGAATACCAGGATTGAGGCCGTAAGTGAATTATTATGAAAGCAACGACAACATATAAACCGACAGGAGAGTTTAAAATATGGATCGATATTTGTGATTTGTTCTTGTCCAGTTGGCATTAATGTAAAAGCCTCCATTTTCAGTTGGCTTTTCTCCTTTGTCCAATTTATCTTGAGCTGGCCATGATCCTGACATTTATCAACAAAAATTACCGCGTTAAAGAAACGTTTAGCAATTAGAAACGGCAAATACAATATCATTTAAGTCAAATCGTGGGGTTTAGACTTTTAGTACTCGTTACTTTCTTTGTTTAAAAAAGTTCAACCAATGTTCGGGTTTTCTAACTTAATGTGGTAGAGGCCAATTTCCGTCAATTGTTTTTTTCTAAATTTTCTCTTCCAAGAGGCCAACTTTATTGACGTAGTTAAAAGAGAACGACTTTTCCCACCCAAGGTTTGCCCTGATGACCTTTCTACTCAAAAAGTTAAAATATTATTTTCTACCCAAAGTTAATATTCTGTTACTACTAAAGTCGATTCTAGCCAATTCCAGTAACAAAAATTCTCTCCATCTACTATTTGAAACCTCAATCTCCTATCTACAAAACTGTTATTAATCCAATACTGATTTCTTGTCGATTAAGTCATCGCAAAGCTAAAGTTTCTTGTTTTTTTGTTGATTTCTGATTGATTTGATGATAATATTCAATCGATCACCATATTTGATCCAGGCCTTATGTACTAAAAAACCTTTATCTTGACTTGGTAACTCTTGAATGCCGGTTAAAAAAAGATGTATTTAGTATTTAAAATATAAATATTGGGTGAAAAAATAATATTTTAAAATTTTTTAGATGAAAGTGTTAAGGCAAACCTGGGTGGGGAAAGTAGTTTACTCTAGTTAAAAAATGATTGATTGATGGTTCTGTTCGGGAAAAAAGTTAAAAGGACAGAACGTCAGCTGTAGGTCTATATCTTGAGTTGTCAAATCTCCTTGCCATGCCAAATTTGACATTTTCTTTCGCTCGTTTGGTACATACTTTAGTACAAACACAAATACAAACCCGTAATTTATTAATTTAATAACAACATAAAAGAATTTTTTAAAAATTAATAAATATTCTAACCTAAATTTACTAAATTTTAGTCACATTATCAGAAGTTAGCTAGAATCTAGTGTAATAGAGCACTACTGTGAATCTGAATGGTAGTACGCCGATCCTAGCATTTTTCAGTCAGATCACGATAGATCTAATAAAAAAATCAAATCTTTGGTCGCTAAGTACAGTCATCAACGACGGTCAAGATAGACCGCATCTGGTCGTCGTTGACGACAAATGTGGCCAAATCTGGCCATGATCTAGCATTTTTGATCAGATCTACTGTGAATCTAGTCAGAAAATGCCTATTGATGCACGAACAGTAAAATCTAACTAGTCATACATCGATACGTTAACTTCGGATATCTCCGACAGTAGTGATCGACTATCTATATTTAATGAGTGAGTTAGAGATATTTTTTTAACTTTAAATATTTATTATAAAAAATTTAATAAAATAAACAATAATAAGGATAAGAAGTATTTATTAATTTTACAAAACTCTACATCGTAATACTACATAATTAACTTTTTTTTCAAATATTATCCTAAATAAAAATAACGAAATGACGTGGTGAGACGCTACTTAAGATCTCCATATCAGTTATTACCATAATACATCTGAAGACAGCACAGCCAAACAGGCAAGCTTCAACTCAAAGGTTGTATACTTCAAATTTTCCGCTCACCAAGCGTGGATTGTTACGGTTGCAGTTCCTCATCAACTTGGGTTCGTTATTTTTCTCAGTTTACTTTTTTTCCTTCTATCTTTCATAGTAGTATTGTTTAGTCCGAAAAATAACAATCATTTGATTGATTTAAAACTATCAGAAGATCACCCGTTTTCAACTTTTGTTTTACATGGCGTTTTTGAGAAGTTTTAATTTCTTCTCTCTTGTACAGAATATTTGTTTGTGCTTTATGACACAGTCGCACGTAATGGGATAATTATTTTTTTCTTTGTCAATCAATGAAATCATAAAAACCATCTGTTAATCATTCGTCTTTTGTAGTATTTGTTATGGTAATCTTTACGTGGAAAAGTCTACAGAATTAAGGAGTTTTTGTCGAGAGAGCTGGAGTTCTTACAGAAATTTGGGTTTATATAGAAATTACAATTACTACGAATAGGTTTAGATTTTCCAGAAATAATTGAAGCTTGAGTAGATACATAAAGTAATTTGGTTTTACTTGAATTTATATATTTTCCTGTCCATTGCGCATATTTTAAATGGCATACAGTTGTGATTACCGTTTAATCACGAGGAATTTTTTTTTTAGTTTTTATTTTTTTAGTTTCTATGGATTGATAAATTAATATAGTAATCTTCGTATTGATTTTGCTTAGTCATTTGTATTTTTGGATTTCAAACTCCATTACAGTGTTTTTTGAGTCTGCAAAAGAGTAGTCTAACTGTAGATAAGAATTTCTCACAGATACTATGAGAAATGTTACAAAGAATGGTGGATTTCAGCAGCCATTCTTCTGCTGGCAATGAGCTTGCCATATTCACAGGCATATTTGAATGAAAATAAGATCAAAACTGCAGTTTTTCTCCACCAAAATTTGTGCTGGGACCTGGATCTGTTGAGAACAGATATTCCACAATATCGACTTTCCAAGGGGTCATATTGCGGTCAAGAGTTTCAATGCAGAAGTAATTGACGAGGCAGGGATTCCTGTTCCCCTTCATGAAACTTATCTGCACCATTGGGTTGTTGCAAGTACTATGGACGTGTAGAATACAATCGCCACAGGGAGCTTCGTGAGTCAGATAACATTAAGGTGAGAAATGATGGCATAGCCAGAAAGGTGTTCTTGGGCAGGATTTTGGCCTTGGATCTGAAACACGAGAACAGAAACACACATCCGGACCCTTATGGAATAGAAAATGGTAATCCTGCTGAAATTCCTGAGGCATGAGGAGAGATGGCTGCTTAATGTCCATGCAATTGATACACGAGGGGTGGAAGATAAATTGGGTTGCACGAATGCAGGTGTGATCTTTAATATTACAGTGGGTGAAATTGGCCGACGTTTGAGGCCAGATATACTGGAGGGTTGCTATGTTGTTATGATCAGACTCATGCAGGGTGAGACATGGCTTGAAGGTGCCAGGAGGAAACTCTAATTGAGTATACTGTGAAGGGGTTGATTGGGGTAGTTCCATTGTGCCCGTTAAAATCTATATATTTGATGTCACTGATAAGTTGAAGAGGTTAATGATTCAACAGGACTCAGCACAGAGCATGATTGCGGGTGAGTGAATTCTTTTACGCAAATCTCATCCTTGAGAAAGATGAAATTCTTAGATAATTTTGGACATTCCATGGATTGAATTTGACTTTACTATCTTCATCAGCTATTGCTTCTTTATTATTTTGAATCTTGAAAATATCATTAGCCAAATAAAACTGAGTTTTTTTTTTTGTTTTTCTTCCCATGTCCTTAATGTATAATGGTAAAAATGTACTTACTTAATTGGTAAAGTCTTGAGGTTGTTCACACAAGGTTGGGGGGTGTGAGAGGGATGGGGTTTACATTGCATACTCATTGAGCACTGGTGATTGTTCACACAAAGGTTGGTGAGTGGGGGTGGGGGGAGAAGGATGGGAATGCAAAGAATCCCTTAACAACACCGTTGGATTATATCCTTAAGGAGGGACTTTCATGAGATAAAACTTTTAATTATTGTAGAAACATTTGCACATTCTCAGAATGCATTCATATGATTAACCTGTCTAATAGCATGGGAATGAATCCACCCTTCATAATGAGCACTAACACTGAATGCTTCAAGTTTGTTACTGGGTTTTTGTAGTCACATTTTTATAAATACGAAACTAATGGGAATATATGTAATGCAGGTTGAATATGACATTGAGCCTTGTAGTGCCACCAATTGGCGATGATGAGTGCATTCACACAAAAAGAATAAGCCTCACCATGCTGACTGGTGGTTATGTCATTTATGGTGTGCCCACCAGCACTCAGGGGGTTAGGTTCTGCACTATACCGAGAGGTGATTTTGTTCATTTTTAATTTATCTCGTTTGAATTTCTCTTTTTTTCCATGTATATAGCATGTTAGTTTGATAAGTTATGCTTATTTCCATGATAGATTGTGTGAAAATACAGGATGGGAAGGCTATTGCTCTTCAATTCCAGCTTACGGAGATGGGGCAGAGGCAGGAAAACGAGGCTGGTTACATTGTGGAATGTCCACGTGTTATCCTCAACCGGGTCGTCAAGTAACAGATGGGGAGACGTTGATTCTAGAATCTAACTACAGCAGCACCCGAGAACACACGGGAGTTATGGGGCTCTTCTACATTTTGGTTGCTGACCGAGTGCCAGAGCCTGTGCCTTCTCATATCTTCGCGTTAAGTAAAGATTTAACGTTTGATTCCAAATAGTGATTGTATAATACAAATAAATATGCTTATGAATCTAATTATAGATACAGGATACTGGTGATAAATAAACAGGACTGTTTGGAAAGAAGCAAACATTTTATTTATGGCCAAGACTAATGATATGTTGGAATAAGTAGTCTGATTGATGACTCTGGTTTGTTTGATCAATTTTTGCCCATCTGGAGTGGCAATTGTTAATTTGTTTGGCGACCTTATAAATTAAAGAAAAGCCATTCTGATTGTAACAACGACAATGGATCTGTTTGGTTTGCAGATGTACGACAAAATGAACAGAACTACTTATGTTGGGCAGCAATGGTTCTGGTGGGACTTCTGCTGTGCTGCTGTGTATAAATCGATATAGGAATAAGGGTGAAGATGAATACCAACCAATCATGATTTGAACTTGTTCTCCGAGTTCTAGATGTGTACTGGTAATATACAACAACACATCTAAAGTCTACCCCTTTTTCTGTAGCTTAGTAATGTATAAATTACATATTGTTGACTAGGTAATATTTTCAAGATGTAGTAAAAGTTGAAGTTACTTTATGAAGCTGTTTCTCTCTTTCATTCATATGATTCCTGAGTTGTGGGGAATGTGTCTGTATCTGAATTATGGTGTTCTCAGTTTTGATAGTGGTTGAAATTGATGAGGAGAGATGATTTATAAATAGCGAAGGGTGTTATCGGTGTAACTACATTGACAAAATGGAACATACTTGGCCAAATGCATGTATGTTTGGTTAGATTGATGATATGAGTAGATGTTAATAAAGATCCACCCAACAAAATAATTAAACAATCAATTTGTCCTGTCACCCATTAACGTATTGACGGTGGCCGGTGTCCAACGAATGTGTAGATAATTCTCCAGGATTAAACAGTGCCTATTCCCCATTTGTAATTACAGTGTTTCTTCAAGCCTTTTTATTTAAACCCGGCCTGTTTGCATGACAGCATGAACGGCGTATCTTCTTTTAACCAAATATTTTCACTAACAATTTTTATTTTTCTTTAAATCCATCATTAACTTCCTAAAATGTTGTTACGTGTATCCTTTGGAACTTTGACTCTCCTTTCTCTGACCCACCGTTCAAAACAAAACACAAGAATTTTCATTTCAATTTCTTGTAACTGGAGATCGCTGCTATGCTTGAGAAGCAACAGCTTATATCGAAATTTGACAACATTTGAGGGCAAATGACCGGGGCAGGACACGCGGTGGAACCGTCGGATTACCCAAGAGGAGTCGTCGACCACCTCGACTCGACCCGCGTCCGGTTGTTGTAACCCGGTCAAGGAAGCGGTCCGTTACCATGGATCATGTATATTACCATTGCGGGAAAGCAAAGAAGAGAGAGATATGCGGATTCGGAGCTTGTTTAATTTCTTTGATGCGGCGGATATCGGGTATTTGGATTACGCACAGATCGAGAACGGTTTGTCGGCGCTTCAGATTCCGGCGGAGTATAAGTACGCCAAAGATTTGTGAAAGTGTGCGATGCGAATAGAGATGGGCGCGTGGACTATCACGAGTTCAAAGGTATATGGACGATAAAGAGCTGGAGGCTTTATAGGATTTTTCAAGCCATCGATGTCGAACACAATGGTTGCATTTTGCCGAGGAGCTTTGGGATGTCTTGTTAAGGCTGGTATACATTGTTTTATGTTCTAGCTTCTTCATTCAAGAAATTCTTTTCTTTTCAGCTTTATTTAAAGTATTCGATTCGATTTTGGATTTAAAGGGATTTGGCAACATTAGTTACTTAAATTCAACTACTTCAGTCTACATCAAGTAATAAGTATGTAAATCTGGTTATCAGTATTTAACTGTGGGATAAAAAGAAAAGTTTGATTTATTGATTTTTCCCTGAATGCAAAATCTTTGTATTTTGCTGTTACTTGTTGTGCTAATTGGGAAATTGAGGAGGGGCTGTTACCGGGTATGTTCAGCCTGATCTTACCTTATCTATATTTGAAGTTTAATCCGTTTCGTTTTTGATAGTCTATGAGATGGAAGTTCTTTTTTAATTGACATTGGCTTGCGATGTGAGGCTCATTTCTGGGGCTCTGTGTGAGGAAGAGGAAGAGAGAGGTGTCTTGGGTAAAGAACCGGAGTTGGAGAGTTTGGTAATGATGTACTTTGAAAATTTGCTCAGTCTTTGCTTTTCTTTTGCAATAGACTCAAAGGTCAAATCCTGACTGATTGTCTGTCTTTGCCATGTTTCTTTGGCCATTCTTCATTCTTCCATTTGCTTATGAATCCTCTTCTACTTCTGAAATTAATATTGACTTTAATTATAGAGGGTTGATTGTGGCTGCACATTCTTATTCTGAAGTAGTCATTTATAAGAAGCGAAGGCCATGCTCATGTAGTCAATTGGTATACAAAATACAGTCTGAATCAAATGTTTATCAGGCTTGAATTTTGCTGGAGGACAAAGGGTGAACCGTTTTTACTAGTAGCTTGAGTGGAATTGTTTTTGGTCTGTGTGAAGAATCATTAAGCTTCCTTGGCATTTCTAAAAAGAAGATATGATGTTTGTAATCCCTATTATTCTTTGTGTTTATATTCCTGTATTCTCAAATTCTAGTAGGACCCAATCTAGAATTATATAGAGGTTTGGGAGGTACGATTAATTTTCTTAATATACTTAGCACTCAGTTTTTCATTTTTCCTGACTGCGTTTGCGGTTTCATTTTGGTTTGATAGGAAGCTAGTAAATTGACGACTCCTTTGTATTACTAATTTACTATATTTTATAAATGATTTTACTATTGTCTCAAAACATCTTTAGAAGACAAATTATCATACAAATTCTTCTCATTTTTTTGTACGAAAAATGAAATTTTTTCCAAATAGAATATGTTCAAATAATATTTTACCAGACGTAATTTGTAATATAGTATTATAATATTGTCCTCTCCCAATCCAACCTTGTAAAAATTAGTTTAATCTAATGCGTTGTGTAAACGCACCCTAGTGTAGTGCCCAATTATTTATACGCGCTTTCAACGTTCAGTAGTTCCAACAAGTTCATATATACTGGATTAACCTACAGAATGCACAGAATGTCGGTAATATGTAGGCATAATACTACATTTATAATATTTCTTATATAACATAACGTAATAAAAGATAGTTGATTGATTTTAAATTAAAAATAAACTTTCACCTAATTTATCTTTTATCACATTATAATATATAAAAAATGTTATATGAAAATGATATATGTGTAGAATTACTCAATACATAAATATTTTTCTTTTTTTATTAATTGTCATTAATGTTAAAAGCTTCCAATTTAAGAAATTATATCAGAAACTTTGATATCTCCACTACAAAAATACCACATTTACAACTCAATCTCACAACATTATCTTACAAATCTTATCATGCTAGCAAAGTTTCCACTACCAAACCAATTGACGACTTTAACTAAATATGAATGACTGTTCTTAAGAGATGAACAATCGTTCTTTAGGGACAAACGGCCGTTTATTTATAAGGAATGTCTGTTTTATTAATAAGGAACAATAATTTTTTTTAAAATAATGATTATTCCTTATGAAGAAATAATTATTTCTTATGAAGGAATGTTTGTTCATCCTTAAGAATGAATGTTTGTATTTAGTTAAAGTTATTTAATGTCTTGAGTATGGTGTGACGTAACTATCATACTAGGGTTTTAAGACGAGGTAGTGAGATTTTAAAAATTTTAAGAAGCATGGGTGTCTTTAATAATGGCTGATGGCTCCATCTAGAAGTTAGGAACTTTATGTTGAACGTCATTGCATATGTAATGTAATTTTATCTTCATTTCAATTTTCAAAATCATATCATGCTACACGACGTCGTTAATACCGAGATCACTATATATATATATATATATATATAATTTAAACGTTGTCCAGTAATTTGTCTCTCCTTTCTTTCACTCCAAGGTACACTGAACTTTCAGTAGTCGCTGTTCTTCATCCAAACGTGGGTACGTTCTTTCTTCTCAATTTCAATTATTTTTAGTTATTATTGTATACATATATATTAAACTTTAATTCTATCAGTGATAGCTAATTTAATTACTATCTTTCGTCAAGTATAAAATTTATTTCGATTGTAAATAAATTTTATACTTCATGGAGCAACTTCTATATTGAGCCTTAGTATTTATGTTTCGATTTCCAACTCCTTTGGACTGTGTTTTTAGTCTACAGTTTAAAGATCGTATGGCTTAATCAACTAAAGATAATGTATTTAACAGTCGTAACTTTGACAGGAAAATATGAGGAATTGTTCTCAACCATGGTTGATTTTACTAGTCAATCTTCTTATGGCATTAAGCATACAATACTCACAAGCATATTCCAGTCAAAGTAAGATCAAATCTGCTGTTTTTCTGTCACCAAAATTTGTGCTAGGACCAGGATCTGTTGAGAATAAATTTTATTACAACATCGATTTTCCAAGAGGTCATGTAGTTCTCAAGAGTTTCAACGCAGAAGTAATTGATGAGACAGGGAACCCTGTTCCCCTTCATGAAACCTATCTCCACCATTGGGTTGTTGAAAGATACTATGGACGTGTTGACTACACCGGTAACAGGGATCTTCGTGAATCAGATTATAAGCCTGTGAGAAATGCTGGCATATGCCAGAAAGGCGTTCTTGGGCAGTATTTTGGCCTTGGATCTGAAACAAGAGGAACAGAAACATATATTCCAGATCCTTAAGGGATAGAAATTGGAAATCCTGCTGAAATTCCAGAAGGATATGAGGATAGATGGATGCTCAACGTCCACGCAATTGATACACGAGGTGTGGAAGATAAGTTGGGATGCACAGAGTGCAGATGTGATCTGTATAATGTGACGGTGGATGAGTATGGACGAACTTTGAGGCCAGATTATACCGGAGGTTTGCTATGTTGTTATGATCATACACAGTGCCGGGTGAGACATGGTTTTGAAGGTGGAAGGAGGAGCCTCTACTTGAGATATACCGTGAAGTGGGTTGATTGGGATAGTTCCATTGTGCCCGTTAAAATCTATATATTTGATGTCACTGATAATTGGAAAAGGTTTAATGATTCAACAGAACTCAGCACAGAGCATGATTGCAAGGTAAATGGTTTTGGTTTATTTGAGGACATTCTTAGAATAGAATTTGGCTCTAATTCCTTCATCATCCATTTTTTAAACATTAGTTCTGTTTTCAAACGGTGGTTAATGATGCAGGTAGAATATGAAGTGGAGCCTTGTAGTGCCACCAATTTGGCTAATGATGAGTGCATTCAGACCAAAAGAATAAGCGTCACAATGACAAATGGTGGTTATCTCATCTATGGCGTTGCCCACCAGCACTCAGGGGGCATAGGCGCTGCTTTATACAGAGAGGTGATTTTAGATCTAATTTTCCATTCCTACTACACGCTTTCTGGTCATTTATTCTACTATGGATACGTCAAGACATGTTTAAAGCGATTTCCTTGATTAAAATTTCATGGTTCTTCAGGATGGAACGGCTATATGCGCTTCAATTCCAGCTTATGGAAATGGGACGGAAGCAGGAAACGAGGCTGGTTACATTGTAGGAATGTCAACTTGTTATCCTCAACCAGGCTCTGTCAAAATAGCAGACGGGGAGACTCTGATTCTGGAATCGAACTACAGCAGCACCCGAGTTCACACAGGAGTCATGGGGCTTTTCTACATTTTGGTGGTCGACCAGGTGGCAGAGCCCAAGCGTATATTACATCTTCCAGTTGAAGTAAGATTTTACTTTCTCCATTGCCAAATAGCTAGTGACTGACAAAAATACATGTAAATATGCCTGTGAACACGTTTTTAGATACGGGAGATAAATAAACGCAAGCTAAATTATAGATTGATTAATTTTTGCTCATATGGGTGGCAATTGCCTTCTTGATTGTAACAAGGAGATGTAATATTTGTTTGGTTTTTGCAGATGTACAACAACATGAACCGAACTGGTTATGTTTGGACAGGCGCAGTCGTTTTGGTGGGAGTTTTGAGTGTTGCTGTTGCTGTATGGTATCGACGCAGGAACAAGCACGAAGACGAATACCGACCACTTATCATTTGAACTTGTTTCTAGTGCTGATTTTATAATATAAAATATTATGTAGAAATAATTCAACTTCTTTTTTCACGGCTTGGCTTAGCAAAGTACCCTATCTAACTTCTGTATCCTAAAATATTAATAGTAGGTATTTATATCAAATACCTAATGTAAAATATTCCACAAGCCCTGATATTTAAGTTGTATTCCACCCAAGGTTTGGCGAAACGACATTTTCCCACCTGTGAAAGTTTCAAAATGACACTTTTCCACCCACGATTATGTTTCATTAGCAAAAGACTATAAAGATGAAAATACCTTTTATTATTTGATTTAATAATTTTTTTATTATTATTTTATGTCATGTTAACCCAGTCAATCACCAACATACTCACTCTTAAATACGAAATTATTAACATGCCCTTAACTATATATGAAAATATAAATTACCAATTTGTCCCTCCATTTTTTTTTATTAAAAATAATGTTTTAAATCAATGAAGTTACAATTAGATTTTTAAAATTTTGAAATTACCAATTTATCCCTATGGTTGCTGCAACGCATTTATATTAAATTTTTGTCAATTTAAACCCAAATAAAACTAAGTATTAGCATTAGTGATATTCTTAAATAAGAATCAAAATTGTAAAATTACAGTGCATATGTATAAGTAATTTTGTCAATTCAAACCTAATAAAAATAGCGAATCGAATACAAAGAAAGAAGTTTTTCCAATTTCTCATTCATTTCTTAAAATCCAAAAAGTTTTGCTTTCACCCTCCTGCTTTCTATCTCCTTGAAGCTTGATTTTCCTTTGCTTTCTAGATTTTCAGAACCTTCTTCACAATCCTTTGCTCTTCCACCAAGAAAGCTCGAATTTGATCATTATTTTCAGTCAAAGTTACCATCTTCAGTACCTTTGTAACTGCCTTAAGAGGCTATTCTCCATTTAACTTAGCGTCAACAAATTGCTTCACCTTATCTTCACTGAGTTTTGGAGTTGCCTAAAACAATCCAGAATTGCATAAAAATCAGCTTGAATGAAGCTTACACATGTATGAATTTGTTATCTATCAGTATAGAGAATAATAAAATAGAAAAAATATGTATGTTCCAAAACAAGTTAGTGGTAGAAAAGAACAAAGATGAAGTTCATACGCATGTCACAAGACTCTGCTGCTCACGTGACAGAGTATGATTAACAGGCTTCCACCTAGTTAAGAGTTCCAGCGGGACAAGACCAAAGCTATAAACATCACTTTTTGCACTCATCTGTCTTATCATAGCGTATCTGCAATCCAACCAAGGTTTCAAGTATACTAGTCAATCTGACATTCTTTTGCTATTTCTTTCATCACTTATAACTTCACTTCTCCAGGAGGGGTTCTGACATAGTTTCTCGATTAACTGTAAGCAAAACCAAGCACTATTAAGTCATATGAAAAGATACTGTGACATGTCAAACGTAGCATAATTTGCAAAATGTTCCCGCATGTACCATCTCTATCTTGATAACATGTTTGATGAGAAGATCTATGATAGTATGAATGTATATCTAAAAAAATGAGATATCTACAAATTGCAAAGTCATAAATCTTTGATTACCATGGGATTTACTCCAGAATTAGGCTGTAGATACAAAATCTTTCTTACATTTTTTTCTCAAAAATATTCCTTATTGCCTGTAGTTCTAGAATTTATGAGGACCTTGGGGAGGCAAATATCACACTAGCTTTCCATTTGCAATGATGGTAAGTCTGGCCACTATTAACTTAGTAAATAGCTCAATGAATTTATTTGCAGCTAAAACATTTTGTTCTCATATAACGTGTTCAACCTACAACGTTAAATTTTTGACATAAATTTTTAGGACTACCTTTTAAAAGAAAAATAAGGGCAAAGATGGATCTAGGAATAAAGTTTAAGCGGAGGGAGAAGTGGGGGTTGGAGATTAAGGAAATCCAGTGTTTGGATACAACTTTAAATTTGATTGAGGATTTTATAAGGAGGCAAACAAATATTTCAATTAGAAGGTCATAATTGTTGGCGAATTTTTCTGCTGCTGCTGATGATGATTGGTATTAGTGAGAAGAAAAGGAGGCTATAGATTTAGTAGAGTCAGTTAGGGCTTTGTTTGTGGAAAGCATGATTGAGCAGATGGTGGGAACACTACAATATATCCGGTGCTATAATTAATCGAACACTTAGGATGCGGAAACAATAGTAAGAAATCCAAATAAGAAGCAACGATCAACAAATGAGGAGATAATCAAAAAATAGTGGGACAAAAATAAACAACACAATGAAAACACAAAGTAATGTGATTTAGAGGAAATTATACCTAAATCCGCAAGTAGTGATAATCCTTGCTGTAGTTCTACAATTTCAAAGAAACCCTAGATTTTTCTCCACACGATCTCTTCTCTTGCCAGTCGCCAACCGTAAGCCGCCACTCGCCAACCCTAAGTCGCTAGTCGCTGAGAACAAGGAGAAAAGTAAAATGACTTTTCGTTAGTTGGCAACCCTAAGTCGCTAGTTGCTGAGAACAAGGAGAAAAGGAAAATGACTTTTCATTAGTTGGCAACCCTAAGTTGGCAGTCGCCAGTGCTTCAGTTACTGAGAATAGGGAGAGTTACAGAGAACAAGGAGAAAAGGCTTCTCCCTTCTTTTCGTCAAAGTACTTTAGTGGGACACGTGGCAACCATTCAGACAAAGTTTCAATTTTTAAATTTTGATTTTTAGAGCTTCATGTAAATAAACCATCTTACCATTCTTCAGAACGAATTTGCCTAATGAAACATAACGATAGATGAGAAAGTGTCGTTTTGAAATTGCATGGGTGGGATAGTGTCATTTCGCCAAACCATTGGGTGGGAAAAAGTCTTTCTCCTTTTAAATATTGAACAAAAATACAATCGTTCTCGTAATGAGTTAATCCATTAATTAATCATCCAAAACGACAAATACTAAAACTTCTTGTGTACAAGACTGGGATTAAATTTGCCTATATGTTTATACTATTGTGATAGAGTGGGAGCCCATCAAGAATAATCCAGGATTGAGTGCCGTAAGTGAATTATTTATGAAAGCAACGACAACATATAAACCGACAGGAGAGTTTAAAATATGGATCGATATTTGTGATTTGTTCTTGTCCAGTTGGCATTAATGTAAAAGCCTCCATTTTCAGTTGGCTTTTCTCCTTTGTCCAATCTTATCTTGAGCTGGCCATGATCCTGACATTTATCAACAAAATTACCGCCGTTAAAGAAACGTTTAGCAATTAGAAACGGCAAATACAATATCATTTTAAGTCAATATCGTGGGGTTTTAGACTTTTAGTACTCGTTACTTTCTTTGTTTAAAAAAATTTCAACCAATGTTCGGGTTTTCTAAACTTAATGTGGTAGAGGCCAATTTTCCGTCAATTGTTTTTTTCTAAATTTTCTCTTCCAAGAGGCCAACTTTATTGACGTAGTTAAAAGAGAACGACTTTTTCCCACCCAAGGTTTGCCCTGATGACATTTTCTACTCAAAAAGTTTTAAAATATTATTTTTCTACCCAAAGTTAATATTCTGTTACTACTTAAAGTCGATTCTAGCCAATTCCAGTAACAAAAATTCTCTCCATCACTACTATTTGAACCTCCAATCTCCTATCTACAAAACTGTTATTAATCCAATACCTGATTTCTTGTCGATTATCAGTCATCGCAAAGCTAAAGTTTCTTGTTTTTTGTTGATTTCTGATTGATTCTGATGATAAATATTCAATCGATCACCATTATTTGATCCATCGGCCTTCACTGTACTAAAAAACCTCTTATCTTGACTCTTGGTAACTCTTTGAATGCCGGTTAAAAAAAAGAAATGTATTTTAGATATTAATAAAATATAAATATTGGGTGAAAAAATAATATTTTAAAATTTTTTAGATGAAAGTGTTAAGGCAAACCTGGGGTGGGGAAAGTAGTTTACTCTAGTTAAAATATGATTGATTGATGGTTCTGCTTCGGGAAAAAAGTTAAAAGGACAGAACGTCATTGCTTAGGCTCTATATCTTGAGTTGTCAAATCTCCTTGCCATGCCAAATTTGACATTTTCTTTCGGCTACGTTTGGTACATACTTTAGTACAAACACAAAATACAAACCCGTTCAATTTATTAATTTAATAACAACATAAAAGAATTTTTTAAAAATTAATAAAAATATTCTAGTAACCTAAATTTACTAAATTTTAGTCACTATTATCAGAAGTTAGCTAGAATCTAGTGTAATAGAGCACTACTGATTGAATCTGACTGGTAGTACGCCGATCTAGCATTTTTCAGTCAGATCTACGATAGATCTAATAAAAAAAGTCAAATCTTTGGTCGTAGATAGTCATCAACGACGGTCAAGATAGACCGCATCTTGGTCGTCGTTGACGACCAAATGTGGCCAAATCTGGCCATTAGATCTAGCATTTTTTCGATCAGATCTACTGTGAATCTAGTCAGAAAATGCCATATTGATGCACGAACAGTAAAATCTAACTAGTCATACATCGATACGTTAACTTCGGATATCCTCCGACAGTAGTGATCGACTATCTATATTTAATGAGTGAGTTAGAGATATTTTTATTAACTTTAAATATTTTATTATAAAAATATTTAATAAATAAACAAATATAAGGATAAGAAGTATTTTTATTAATTTTCAAAACTCTACATCGTAATACTAACATAATTTAACTTTTTTTTCAAAATATTATCCTAAAACCTATAAAATAACGAAATGACGTGGCTGACTCGCATACTTCAATGTATCCTCCATATCAGTTATTACCTATTAATACACTCTGAAGACAGCACAGCCAAACAGAGCAAGCTTCAACTTCAAAGGTTGTATACTTCAAATTTTCCGCTCACCAAGCGTGGATTGTTAGCGGTTGCAGTTCCTCATCAACTTTGGGTTCGTTTATTTTTCTCAGTTTACTTTTTTTTTTCCTTCTATCTTTCATAGTAGTATTGTTTAGTCCGAAAAATAACAATCATTTGATTGATTTATAAACTATCAGAAGATCACCCGTTTTCAACTTTTGCTTTTACATGGCGTTTTTGAGAAGTTTTAATTTCTTCTCTCTTGTACAGAATATTTGTTTGTGCTTTATGACACAGTCGCACGTAATGGGATAATTATTTTTTTCTTTGTCAATCAATGAAATCATAAAAACCATCTGTTAATCATTCGCTCTTTTGTAGTATTTTGTTATGGTAATCTTTATGTGGAAAAGTCTACAGAATTAAAGGAGTTTTTGTCAAAGAGAGCTGGAGTTCTTACAGAAATTTTGGGTTTATATAGAAATTACAATTACTACGAATAGGTTTAGATTTTCCAGAAATAATTGAAGCTTGAGTTCAGATACATAAAAGTAATTTGGTTTTACTTGAATTTATATATTTTCCTGTCCATTGCGCATATTTTAAATGGCATACAGTTGTGATTACCTGTTTAATCACGAGGAATTTTTTTTTTTAGTTTTTATTTTTTATGTTTCTTATGGATTGATAAATTAATATAGTAATCTTCGTATTGATTTTGCTTAGTCATTTGTATTTTTGGATTTCAAACTCCATTACAGTGTTTTTTGAGTCTGCAAAAGAGATAGTCTAACTGTAGATAATGAATTTCTCACAGATAACTATGAGAACTTGTTACAAAGAATGGTGGATTTCAGCAGCCATTCTTCTGCTGGCAATGAGTTTGCCATATTCACAGGCATATTTGAATGAAAATAAGATCAAAACTGCAGTTTTTCTATCACCAAAATTTGTGCTGGGACCTGGATCTGTTGAGAACAGATATTACCACAATATCGACTTTCCAAGGGGTCATATTGCTGTCAAGAGTTTCAATGCAGAAGTAATTGACGAGGCAGGGATTCCTGTTCCCCTTCATGAAACTTATCTGCACCATTGGGTTGTTGCAAGATACTATGGACGTGTAGAATACAATCGCAACAGGGAGCTTCGTGAGTCAGATAACATTAAGGTGAGAAATGATGGCATATGCCAGAAAGGTGTTCTTGGGCAGTATTTTGGCCTTGGATCTGAAACACGAGGAACAGAAACACACATCCCGGACCCTTATGGAATAGAAATTGGTAATCCTGCCGAAATTCCTGAGGGCTATGAGGAGAGATGGCTGCTTAATGTCCATGCAATTGATACACGAGGTGTGGAAGATAAATTGGGTTGCACTGAATGCAGGTGTGATCTTTATAATATTACAGTGGATGAAATTGGCCGACGTTTGAGGCCAGATTATACTGGAGGTTTGCTATGTTGTTATGATCAGACTCAATGCAGGGTGAGACATGGCTTTGAAGGTGCCAGGAGGAACCTCTACTTGAGATATACTGTGAAGTGGGTTGATTGGGGTAGTTCCATTGTGCCCGTTAAAATCTATATATTTGATGTCACTGATAAGTTGAAGAGGTTTAATGATTCAACAGGACTCAGCACAGAGCATGATTGCCGGGTGAGTGAATTCTTTTTACGCAAATCTCATCCTTGAGAAAGAATGAAATTCTTTTGAATAATTTTGGACATTCCATGGAATTGAATTTGACTTTACTTATCTTCATCAGCTATTGCTCTATTTATTATATTTTGAAATCTTGAAAATATCATTAGCCAAATAAAACTGAGTTTTTTTTTTTTTTTTTCGTTTTCTCCTCCCATGTCCTTTAATGTATTAATGGTAAAATATGTACTTACTTAATTGGTAAAGTCTCTTGAGGTTGTTCACACAAAGGTTGGGGGGTGTGAGAGGGATGGGGTTTACATTGCATACTCATTGATGCACTGGTGATTGTTCACACAAAGGTTGGTGAGTGGGGGTGGGGGGAGAAGGATGGGAATGCAAATGAATCCCCTTAACAACACCGTTGGATTATATCCTTAAGGAGGGACTTTCATTAGAGATAAACTTTTAATTATTGTAGAAACATTTGCACATTCTCAGAATGCATTCATTAATGATTAACCTGTCTAATAGCATGGAAATGAATCCACCCTTCATATATGAGACCTAACACTGAATGCCTTCAAGTTTGTTACTGGTGTTTTTGTTAGTTCACATTTTTTATAAATATCGAAACTAATGGGAATATATGTAATGCAGGTTGAATATGACATTGAGCCTTGTAGTGCCACCAATTTGGCAGATGATGAGTGCATTCACACAAAAAGAATAAGCCTCACCATGCTGACTGGTGGTTATGTCATTTATGGTGTTGCCCACCAGCACTCAGGGGGTTTAGGTTCTGCACTATACCGAGAGGTGATTTTGTTCATTTTTAATTTATCTCGTTTGAATTTCTCTTTTTTTCCATCGGTATGTATAGCATGTGTTAGTTTGATAAGTTATGCTTATTTCCATGATATGATTGTGTGGAAAATACAGGATGGGAAGGCTATATGCTCTTCAATTCCAGCTTACGGAGATGGGGCAGAGGCAGGAAACGAGGCTGGTTACATTGTAGGAATGTCCACATGTTATCCTCAACCGGGCTCTGTCAAGATAACAGATGGGGAGACGTTGATTCTAGAATCTAACTACAGCAGCACCCGAGAACACACGGGAGTTATGGGGCTCTTCTACATTTTGGTTGCTGACCGAGTGCCAGAGCCTGTGCCTTTCTCATATCTTCGCGTTAAAGTAAGATTTTAATGTTCTGATTTCCAAATAGTGATTGCTTATAATACAAATAAATATGCTTATGAATCTAATTATAGATACAGGATACTGGTGATAAATAAACAGGACTGTTTGGAAAGAAGCAAACATTTTAATTTATGGCCAAGACTAATGATTATGTTGGAATAAGTAGTCTGATTGAGGACTCTGGTTTGTTTGATCAATTTTTGCCCATCTGGAGTGGCAATTGTTTAATTTGTTTGGCGACCTTATTAAATTAAAGAAAAGCCATTCTTGATTGTAACAACTGACAATGGGATCTGTTTGGTTTTTGCAGATGTACGACAAAATGAACAGAACTACTTATGTTTGGGCAGCAATGGTTCTGGTGGGACTTGTTGCCGCTGCTGCTGTTGTAAAATATCGATGTAGGAATAAGGGTGAAGATGAATACCAACCAATCATGATTTGAACTTGTTCTCCGAGTTCTAGATGTGTACTGGTAATATACAACAACACATCTTAAAGTCTACCCCTTTTTCTGTAGCTTAGTAATGTATAAATTAACATATTGTTGACTAGATGTAATATTTTCAAGATGTAGTAAAAGTTTGAAGTTACTTTATGAAGCTGTTTCTCTCTTTCATTCATATGATTCCTGAGTTGTGGGGAATGTGTCTGTATCTGAATTATGGTGTTCTCAGTTTTGTTATGTGGTTTGAAATTGAATGTAGGAGATATGATTTATAAATTCAGGAAGGGTGTTATAGGTGTAACTACATTGACAAAATGGAACCTACTTGGCCAAATTGCATGTATGTTTGGTTAGATTTGGATGATATGAAGTAGATGTTAATAAAGATCCACCCAACAAAAATAATTAAACAATCAATTTCGTCCTGTCACCCATTAACGTATTGACGGTGCCGGTGTCCAACGAATGTAGTAGATAATTCTCCAGGATTAACACGTGCCTATTCCCCATTTTGTAATTACAGTGTTCTTCAAGCCTTTTTATTTTTAAACCCGGCCTGTTTTGCATGACAGCATGAGCGATCGAGTATCTTCTTTTAACCAAATATTTTCACTAACAATTTATTTATTTTTCTTTTTAAATCCATCATTAACTTCCTAAAATGTTGTTACGTGTCATCCTTTGGAACTTTGACTCTCCTTTCTCTGACCCACCCGTTCAAAACAAAACACAAGAATTTTCATTTCAATTTCTCTGTAACTGAGAGATCGCTGCTATGCTTGAGAAGCAACAGCTTATATCGAAATTTGACAACATTTGAGGGCAAATGACCGGGGCAGGACACGCGGTGGAACACGTCGGATTACCCAAGATGGAGTCGTCGACCACCTCGACGTCGACCCGGTCCGTTTGTTGTAACCCGGTCAAGGAATCGGGTCCGGTTACCATGGATCATGTACTATTAGCATTGCGGGAAAGCAAAGAAGAGAGAGATATGCGGATTCGGAGCTTGTTTAATTTCTTTGATGCGGCGGATATCGGGTATTTGGATTACGCACAGATCGAGAACGGTTTGTCGGCGCTTCAGATTCCGGCGGAGTATAAGTACGCCAAAGATTTGTTGAAAGTGTGCGATGCGAATAGAGATGGGCGCGTGGACTATCACGAGTTCAAGAGGTATATGGACGATAAAGAGCTGGAGCTTTATAGGATTTTTCAAGCCATCGATGTCGAACACAATGGTTGCATTTTGCCTGAGGAGCTTTGGGATGCTCTTGTTAAGGCTGGTATACATTGCTTTCTATGTTCCATTGCTTCTTCATTCAAGAAATTCATTTACTTTTCAGCTTTATTTAAAGTATTCGATTCGATTTTTGGTATTTAAAGTGGATATTGGCAACATTAGTTACTTAAATTCAACTACTTCAGTCTACATCAAGTAATAAAAGTATGTAAATCTGGTTATCAAGTATTTATAACTGTGGGATAAAAAGAAAAGTTTTGATTTTAATTGATTTTTTTTCCCTGAATGCAACATCTTTGTTTTTTGCTGTTACTTGTTGTGCTAATTGGGAAATTGAGGAGGGGCTGTTACCGGGATTTGTTCAGCCTGATCTTACCTTATCTATATTTGAAGGTTTAATCCGTTTCGGTTTTTTGATAGTCTATGAGATGGAAGTTCTTTTTTAATTGACATTGGCTTGCGATGTGAGGCTCATTTCTGGGGCTCTGCGTGAGGAAGAGAGAGTTTGTCTTGTGTAAAGAACCGGAGTTGGAGAGTTTGGTAATGATGTTACTTTGAAAATTTTGCTCAGTCTTTGCTTTTCTTTTTTGCAATAGAGCTCAAAGGTCAAATCCTGACTGATTGTCTGTCTTTGCCATGTTTCTTTTGGCCATCTCATTCCATTTCCATTTTGCTTTATGAATCCTCTTCTTACTTCTGAAATTGAATATTGACTTTAATTATGTTAAGAGGGTTTAGTTGTGGCTGCCACATCTCTTATTCTGAAGTAGTCATTTATAAGAAGCGAAGGCCATGCTCATGTAGTCAATTGGTATACAAACAATAACGTCTGAATCAAATGTTTATCAGGCCTTGAAATTTTGCTGGAGGACAAAGGGTGAACCGTTTTTACTAGTATCTTGAGTGGAATTGTTTTTGGTCTGTGTGAAGAATCATTAAGCTTCCTTTGGCATTTCTAAAAAGAAGATATGATGTTTGTAATCCCTCATTATTCTTTGTGTTTATATTCCTGTATTCTCAAATTCTAGTAGGACCCCAATCTAGAATTTATATAGAGGTTTGGGGGGTATGAATAATTTTCTTTAATATTACTTAGCAGTTTTGTACAGGCTACAGTGTCTATGTTTCTTTTAACTATTTTCTTTTTCCTTGAATTTACTCCATGCATTTGGTGGTGACCGTTGTATGATTATTTAAATTTATTTCGTGATTGGCTTTTGGTGGAAGCATTTCCTGGTTCATGGATTTTGGTTGTTAGTTTTTTCAATCTTATAAGCCCTGGCAGTTTCTGTTTTCAGGGATTGAAATTAATGATGAGGAACTTGCTCGTTTTGTTGAGCATGTGGATAAGGATAATAATGGAATCATAACCTTTGAAGAATGGCGAGATTTCCTTCTACTCTACCCTCATGAAGTTACTATTGAGAACATATATCATCACTGGGAAAGGGTATGCCTTGTAGATATTGGAGAACAGGCTGTTATTCCAGAAGGTATCAGTAAACATGTCCAGAGAAGCAAATTTTTCATAGCAGGAGGAATTGCTGGAGCTGCTTCTCGTACTGCTACTGCTCCTCTTGATCGCTTGAAAGTGGTTCTGCAAGTCCAGACAGGAAATTCTCGTATTGTGCCTACTATTAGAAAGATATGGAAGGATGAGGGTTTGTTGGGGTTTTTTCGAGGTAACGGGTTAAATGTCCTGAAGGTTGCACCTGAAAGTGCCATAAAATTTTATGCATATGAAATCTTAAAAAATGTAGTTGGAGATATTATGGGGGAAGACAAGGATAATATAGGCCCTTCTGGTAGACTTTTGGCCGGTGGTATGGCAGGTGCAGTGGCACAAGCTGCTATCTATCCATTGGATCTTGTAAAAACTCGGTTACAGACTTGTGCTCTTGAAAGTGGAAAGGCCCCCAAGTTGGGGACCCTAACAAAGGATATATGGGTTCATGAGGGTCCTCGGGCCTTCTATAAAGGTCTTGTGCCTTCTCTTCTTGGGATTATCCCCTATGCTGGCATTGACCTTGCGGTCTATGAAACTTTGAAAGATTTGTCGAAGAGTTACTTTGTTCGTGAGAGTGGTACAATCTCCTCTTTGTTTGTCTGTGCTTTGAACATTTTGTTTTTCTTATTTCAGATTTGTAATTCTGAATATTTGGAGAGTTGCACTCTTAAAAACCTTTATGTTTTCTGTAGAACCTGGACCTCTTGTGCAGCTGGGTTGTGGGACAATTTCAGGAGCTCTGGGAGCAACATGTGTTTATCCATTGCAGGTTATTAGAACCAGGTACGATGTTATGCATGAACAGTGTTTTCTTTGGCAATTGTGCATGTTTTCTGAAGTGGTTATAGCATATCCTATTTACACGATTTTTGAATGTAATGATGTTCTTGCTATCCAGAATGCAAGCTCAACGTTCTAATTCCGCTGCTGCTTTTAAGGGAATGTCTGATGTATTTTGGAGAACCCTTCATAAAGAAGGTTATAGAGGTTTCTACAAAGGAATTTTTCCAAATCTTCTCAAGGTTGTGCCTGCTGCAAGCATTACATACTTGGTTTATGAAGCTATGAAAAAGAGTCTAGATCTCGGCTAGGCAGTGTTCTGGTATTTGCCGGATCACTAGGCTGATTTCTAAGTCGGAGTCAGTGGTAAATTTTATGAGTAAAATAAGCGGAAGTAAACAAGTAGGTGATTTGGTTATTAAAGCAACTATGACAGACTATAGTTCCCCTTTATTGTATGGGGCACATGATTTTTGTAGTCAAGAAGTTCTACTCCAGGCTTACTAAAAACTAACTGTTCAGAAAAAAAAATTATATTATATCATTATATCTGATCACATAGTGACAGGTAACATCTGTTCTATATTCCTTATTCCTTCTCTATTTCTCATTTGCGTACAGTGCCTCCAAAATGAGTAGGAAAATGCAAAACTTTTCTGTTGTTCCCATCACATTTGTTGGCATGGGTATCGAAGTTTATGACAGAAAGTTAAGGACTGTTAAGAGTTGAAATCACAACATGAGATGATTTTGCAGATGTGAAAGCGTATGCATTAATTATGTTTTCTATTTCCATTTATTAATGTTATATGGTCTCTGCGTTTCTGGTTAACCTTGCATCAATAGTAAAGAGTCAACCTAGACAATAGAATCATCATATTAGAACAATATGCAACCTGTGTATAAACATTGCTCCGCCGCCGCGTGGATATTAGATACTTTATAGTGCTGAAATTTCTCCTGTTAGGCACATGAAATGATCAGCTAATCCTTCAATGACCTTTCACATATTGGCGTGTTGTGTTGTTGGTATTTAAATATAAAGGCGGAGAATGGTTGATGGAGGATTCTGTTGACTGTGCAGACGTAGAAATTGTTTACTAAAAAGCAATTTATTAGCTCTATGGTTTGACGATGTCTGGCTGAGTACCAGCATGTGCGTATCATCTTTTGGTTCCCTCGTTAGACTTTAAAACACTTTTTCTTCACCAATTAAAGGTTTCAGGTATCACCATCAGTTGTTTGTATCGATTCTTTTACTAAAATTAGAAACCAAGTTAGGTGCTGGATAATTTATTATCAAGAGGAAGAGAGAGTTTGTCTTGTGTAAAGAACCGGAGTTGGAGAGTTTGTAATGATGTTACTTTGAAAATTTTGCTCAGTCTTTGCTTTTCTTTTTGCAATAGAGCTCAAGGTCAAATCCTGACTGATTGTCTGTCTTTGCCATGTTTCTTTTGGCCATCTCATTCCATTTCCATTTTGCTTTATGAATCCTCTTCTTACTTCTGAAATTAAATATTGACTTTAATTATGTTAGAGGGTTTAGTTGTGGCTGCCACATCTCTTATTCTGAAGTAGTCATTTATAAGAAGCGAAGGCCATGCTCATGTAGTCAATTGGTATACAAACATAACGTCTGAATCAAATGTTTATCAGGCCTTGAATTTTGCTGGAGGACAAGTGAACCGTTTTTACTAGTAGTTGAGTGGAATTGTTTTTGGTCTGTGTGAAGAATCATTAAGCTTCCTTTGGCATTTCTAAAAAGAAGATATGATGTTTGTAATCCCTCATTATTCTTGTGTTTATATTCCTGTATTCTCAAATTCTAGTAGGACCCCAATCTAGAATTTATATAGAGGTTTGGAGGTACGATTAATTTTCTTTAATTTACTTTAGGCATTTTGATAAGTTATGCTTATTTCCATGATATGATTGTGTGGAAAATACAGGATGGGAAGGCTATATGCTCTTCAATTCCAGCTTACGGAGATGGGACAGAGGCAGGAAACGAGGCTGGTTACATTGTCGGAATGTCCACCTGTTATCCTCAACCGGGCTCTGTCAAGATAACAGATGGGGAGACGTTGATTCTAGAATCTAACTACAGCAGCACCCGAGAACACACGGGAGTTATGGGGCTCTTCTACATTTTGGTTGCTGACCGAGTGCCAGAGCCTGTGCCTTTCTCATATCTTCGCGTTAAAGTAAGATTTTAATGTTCTGATTTCCAAATAGTGATTGCTTATAATACAAATAAATATGCTTATGAATCTAATTATAGATACAGGATACTGGTGATAAATAAACAGGACTGTTTGGAAAGAAGCAAACATTTTAATTTATGGCCAAGACTAATGATTATGTTGGAATAAGTAGTCTGATTGAGGACTCTGGTTTGTTTGATCAATTTTTGCCCATCTGGAGTGGCAATTGTTTAATTTGTTTGGCGACCTTATTAAATTAAAGAAAAGCCATTCTTGATTGTAACAACTGACAATGGGATCTGTTTGGTTTTTGCAGATGTACGACAAAATGAACAGAACTACTTATGTTTGGGCAGCAATGGTTCTGGTGGGACTTGTTGCCGCTGCTGCTGTTGTAAAATATCGATGTAGGAATAAGGGTGAAGATGAATACCAACCAATCATGATTTGAACTTGTTCTCCGAGTTCTAGATGTGTACTGGTAATATACAACAACACATCTTAAAGTCTACCCCTTTTTCTGTAGCTTAGTAATGTATAAATTAACATATTGTTGACTAGATGTAATATTTTCAAGATGTAGTAAAAGTTTGAAGTTACTTTATGAAGCTGTTTCTCTCTTTCATTCATATGATTCCTGAGTTGTGGGGAATGTGTCTGTATCTGAATTATGGTGTTCTCAGTTTTGTTATGTGGTTTGAAATTGAATGTAGGAGATATGATTTATAAATTCAGGAAGGGTGTTATAGGTGTAACTACATTGACAAAATGGAACCTACTTGGCCAAATTGCATGTATGTTTGGTTAGATTTGGATGATATGAAGTAGATGTTAATAAAGATCCACCCAACAAAAATAATTAAACAATCAATTTCGTCCTGTCACCCATTAACGTATTGACGGTGCCGGTGTCCAACGAATGTAGTAGATAATTCTCCAGGATTAACACGTGCCTATTCCCCATTTTGTAATTACAGTGTTCTTCAAGCCTTTTTATTTTTAAACCCGGCCTGTTTTGCATGACAGCATGAGCGATCGAGTATCTTCTTTTAACCAAATATTTTCACTAACAATTTATTTATTTTTCTTTTTAAATCCATCATTAACTTCCTAAAATGTTGTTACGTGTCATCCTTTGGAACTTTGACTCTCCTTTCTCTGACCCACCCGTTCAAAACAAAACACAAGAATTTTCATTTCAATTTCTCTGTAACTGAGAGATCGCTGCTATGCTTGAGAAGCAACAGCTTATATCGAAATTTGACAACATTTGAGGGCAAATGACCGGGGCAGGACACGCGGTGGAACACGTCGGATTACCCAAGATGGAGTCGTCGACCACCTCGACGTCGACCCGGTCCGTTTGTTGTAACCCGGTCAAGGAATCGGGTCCGGTTACCATGGATCATGTACTATTAGCATTGCGGGAAAGCAAAGAAGAGAGAGATATGCGGATTCGGAGCTTGTTTAATTTCTTTGATGCGGCGGATATCGGGTATTTGGATTACGCACAGATCGAGAACGGTTTGTCGGCGCTTCAGATTCCGGCGGAGTATAAGTACGCCAAAGATTTGTTGAAAGTGTGCGATGCGAATAGAGATGGGCGCGTGGACTATCACGAGTTCAAGAGGTATATGGACGATAAAGAGCTGGAGCTTTATAGGATTTTTCAAGCCATCGATGTCGAACACAATGGTTGCATTTTGCCTGAGGAGCTTTGGGATGCTCTTGTTAAGGCTGGTATACATTGCTTTCTATGTTCCATTGCTTCTTCATTCAAGAAATTCATTTACTTTTCAGCTTTATTTAAAGTATTCGATTCGATTTTTGGTATTTAAAGTGGATATTGGCAACATTAGTTACTTAAATTCAACTACTTCAGTCTACATCAAGTAATAAAAGTATGTAAATCTGGTTATCAAGTATTTATAACTGTGGGATAAAAAGAAAAGTTTTGATTTTAATTGATTTTTTTTCCCTGAATGCAACATCTTTGTTTTTTGCTGTTACTTGTTGTGCTAATTGGGAAATTGAGGAGGGGCTGTTACCGGGATTTGTTCAGCCTGATCTTACCTTATCTATATTTGAAGGTTTAATCCGTTTCGGTTTTTTGATAGTCTATGAGATGGAAGTTCTTTTTTAATTGACATTGGCTTGCGATGTGAGGCTCATTTCTGGGGCTCTGCGTGAGGAAGAGAGAGTTTGTCTTGTGTAAAGAACCGGAGTTGGAGAGTTTGGTAATGATGTTACTTTGAAAATTTTGCTCAGTCTTTGCTTTTCTTTTTTGCAATAGAGCTCAAAGGTCAAATCCTGACTGATTGTCTGTCTTTGCCATGTTTCTTTTGGCCATCTCATTCCATTTCCATTTTGCTTTATGAATCCTCTTCTTACTTCTGAAATTGAATATTGACTTTAATTATGTTAAGAGGGTTTAGTTGTGGCTGCCACATCTCTTATTCTGAAGTAGTCATTTATAAGAAGCGAAGGCCATGCTCATGTAGTCAATTGGTATACAAACAATAACGTCTGAATCAAATGTTTATCAGGCCTTGAAATTTTGCTGGAGGACAAAGGGTGAACCGTTTTTACTAGTATCTTGAGTGGAATTGTTTTTGGTCTGTGTGAAGAATCATTAAGCTTCCTTTGGCATTTCTAAAAAGAAGATATGATGTTTGTAATCCCTCATTATTCTTTGTGTTTATATTCCTGTATTCTCAAATTCTAGTAGGACCCCAATCTAGAATTTATATAGAGGTTTGGGAGGTACGATTAATTTTCTTTAATATTACTTAGCAGTTTTGTACAGGCTACAGTGTCTATGTTTCTTTTAACTATTTTCTTTTTCCTTGAATGCATTTGGTGGTGACCGTTGTATGATTATTTAAATTTATTTCGTGATTGGCTTTTGGTGGAAGCATTTCCTGGTTCATGGATTTTGGTTGTTAGTTTTTTCAATCTTATAAGCCCTGGCAGTTTCTGTTTTCAGGGATTGAAATTAATGATGAGGAACTTGCTCGTTTTGTTGAGCATGTGGATAAGGATAATAATGGAATCATAACCTTTGAAGAATGGCGAGATTTCCTTCTACTCTACCCTCATGAAGTTACTATTGAGAACATATATCATCACTGGGAAAGGGTATGCCTTGTAGATATTGGAGAACAGGCTGTTATTCCAGAAGGTATCAGTAAACATGTCCAGAGAAGCAAATTTTTCATAGCAGGAGGAATTGCTGGAGCTGCTTCTCGTACTGCTACTGCTCCTCTTGATCGCTTGAAAGTGGTTCTGCAAGTCCAGACAGGAAATTCTCGTATTGTGCCTACTATTAGAAAGATATGGAAGGATGAGGGTTTGTTGGGGTTTTTTCGAGGTAACGGGTTAAATGTCCTGAAGGTTGCACCTGAAAGTGCCATAAAATTTTATGCATATGAAATCTTAAAAAATGTAGTTGGAGATATTATGGGGGAAGACAAGGATAATATAGGCCCTTCTGGTAGACTTTTGGCCGGTGGTATGGCAGGTGCAGTGGCACAAGCTGCTATCTATCCATTGGATCTTGTAAAAACTCGGTTACAGACTTGTGCTCTTGAAAGTGGAAAGGCCCCCAAGTTGGGGACCCTAACAAAGGATATATGGGTTCATGAGGGTCCTCGGGCCTTCTATAAAGGTCTTGTGCCTTCTCTTCTTGGGATTATCCCCTATGCTGGCATTGACCTTGCGGTCTATGAAACTTTGAAAGATTTGTCGAAGAGTTACTTTGTTCGTGAGAGTGGTACAATCTCCTCTTTGTTTGTCTGTGCTTTGAACATTTTGTTTTTCTTATTTCAGATTTGTAATTCTGAATATTTGGAGAGTTGCACTCTTAAAAACCTTTATGTTTTCTGTAGAACCTGGACCTCTTGTGCAGCTGGGTTGTGGGACAATTTCAGGAGCTCTGGGAGCAACATGTGTTTATCCATTGCAGGTTATTAGAACCAGGTACGATGTTATGCATGAACAGTGTTTTCTTTGGCAATTGTGCATGTTTTCTGAAGTGGTTATAGCATATCCTATTTACACGATTTTTGAATGTAATGATGTTCTTGCTATCCAGAATGCAAGCTCAACGTTCTAATTCCGCTGCTGCTTTTAAGGGAATGTCTGATGTATTTTGGAGAACCCTTCATAAAGAAGGTTATAGAGGTTTCTACAAAGGAATTTTTCCAAATCTTCTCAAGGTTGTGCCTGCTGCAAGCATTACATACTTGGTTTATGAAGCTATGAAAAAGAGTCTAGATCTCGGCTAGGCAGTGTTCTGGTATTTGCCGGATCACTAGGCTGATTTCTAAGTCGGAGTCAGTGGTAAATTTTATGAGTAAAATAAGCGGAAGTAAACAAGTAGGTGATTTGGTTATTAAAGCAACTATGACAGACTATAGTTCCCCTTTATTGTATGGGGCACATGATTTTTGTAGTCAAGAAGTTCTACTCCAGGCTTACTAAAAACTAACTGTTCAGAAAAAAAAATTATATTATATCATTATATCTGATCACATAGTGACAGGTAACATCTGTTCTATATTCCTTATTCCTTCTCTATTTCTCATTTGCGTACAGTGCCTCCAAAATGAGTAGGAAAATGCAAAACTTTTCTGTTGTTCCCATCACATTTGTTGGCATGGGTATCGAAGTTTATGACAGAAAGTTAAGGACTGTTAAGAGTTGAAATCACAACATGAGATGATTTTGCAGATGTGAAAGCGTATGCATTAATTATGTTTTCTATTTCCATTTATTAATGTTATATGGTCTCTGCGTTTCTGGTTAACCTTGCATCAATAGTAAAGAGTCAACCTAGACAATAGAATCATCATATTAGAACAGTATGTAACCTGTGTATAAACATTGCTCCGCCGCCGCGTGGATATTAGATACTTTATAGTGCTGAAATTTCTCCTGTTAGGCACATGAAATGATCAGCTAATCCTTCAATGACCTTTCACATATTGGCGTGTTGTGTTGTTGGTATTTAAATATAAAGGCGGAGAATGGTTGATGGAGGATTCTGTTGACTATGCAGACCTAGAAATTGTTTACTAAAAAGCAATTTATTAGCTCTATGGTTTGACGATATCTGGCTGAGTACCAGCATGTGCGTATCATCTTTTGGTTCCCTCGTTGGACTTTAAAACACTTTTTCTTCACCAATTAAAGGTTTCAGGTATCACCATCAGTTGTTTGTATCGATTCTTTTACTAAAATTAGAAACCAAGTTAGGTGCTGGATAATTTATTATCATATTAGCACGGAAACAAACAAATGTTAATTTAGAGTAATATTATATACATAATATTATGTGGTAAAATATGATTGATTTATTTTAAATTAAAATAAAAATAAAATTTTTACTTAATCATCTTTTATCACGTAATGTTATATGAGAACGTAATATTATATATCATATAAGAATATTGTATGTGTAATATAAAAATATTGTATGTGTAGTACTATTCGTTAATTAATACTAATCTATTAGGATTTATACCTCAAAACAAGCTGGCGTTATCCCTACTTTCCAATTCATTTGTTAACTGAAACAGATACTAAGATATTTGCCTTCCCAAGGAGCCATTGATCAGGTCAGAAAATCCTCAAAAGCATACAAATCACAAGGACAAGACTGTCAATATCTTCTTATTATGATCATCAATTCATAGTTTCATTTCTTTGCAAATGGAGGAAAAAGGAAAGTACAAGAAAAATGAGCAGAAAGTTGCAAAACTCTTAACAGTAGGTCCTTTTAGAGTGTCTAAAACAGCTGTTACAGAAATAATTAATGGTGTAAGAATGGCCTTACACCAAACAACAAAAACAGCCAGTACAGAAATAACGGTGTAAGAAAGGCCTTACACCAAATAACAAAAGATGAAACAAACCCGGAAGAAAGGCGTTGCCTTCCCTTTGCCTCTATGACTTGCCTTTTCAGCCCCTTACTTCCCGGAAAGGAAGAAGAGGATAATATTATTCAGCATATGACATTCTAGTCGTCATTGCTGTCGTCGTCGTCATCATCTTTCTTCTTTCTCTTTTTCTTCCACATCCTGTGTGCAGCAAAGCTTGAAGTTCTGAAAGGAGGAACCAAGAATAGCAGCTGCATTGCAGTTTATTTATTCTGTCATGCTTTCTTTATATTGACCTTCCAAGACAAGAGATCATAGTGGCTAGCAAACTGGTTCTTTTACTTTACTAAAGAAAAATTAGAAAAAGAAAAAGACAGAGAGCACAGATCAGCAGAAATATGTCCCATTTCAAGATGGTCCCTATTGGCATTATTCTTCCATTTGATCATATTTATCTTTTACTAAGAATATTATGATGCCTCTCTACTTTACATTAATTGCACAACTCTAAACCAGTAAAAGAGCCTAATTATTCCATGTCAAAGAAAAGAAAAAGTTAAAAAAAGAATGGATTATCGTTTAATCAAGAGAAGATGGAGGAAAGATAGATAACTCATAACAGGTGGAGGGTGGTTCTTTCTCCAAAAGAAAAGAATGAAACAATAAAACAATTGGAGAGGTAGTTAAAGTAGTTCATAGGCTAACAAAAAAATAATGATGATAATTAGAAGCCTAAAGAGAGATTAGAGAATATGGAAGTAGATATGTCCTTTCTTTATAAAAGTGGAAAACATTTTGCACCGTCCACTTCTGCATTCTCCTTTGAAAAATGGTTATGAGAATCTGAGTCAATTACCACTAAATACTAATCTAATGTAAGTGGGTGATAATGATATCAAGTAGCTAATTGTGGAAAGACTGCTCAATTATTGAAGAAAAGATGAAGTTTATCGTATTGATAACTCTTGCTATTACAAGTAAAAGATAGAAGAGTTGGGTTGGTGTCGTGTGCTTAACTATCCACCTACTTGACTTCATTTCTTTAAGAAACTGAGATGATCCCAATCCCAAGTGATAAAAATCATCAACTGCACATCAACCGTACGTAATATCAACTTTGAGACATGGTGAAAAAACATTTTTCAACGATATTTTTATATCATTTTCTGTACTTTATCTCATTTTACACAGTGTTTTGGTCTCTTTGCTAGTTTCTTATCTCTCATGAGTTTTTTTCTATTGGTGAATGCATATATGTAAACTGTAAAGTACGTCTTTTTACGAAATTACATATAAAATAAGGCTAAAATATAAACGTCTACCCTTTGGGACTCTTATGTATAAACATCACATGCTTTCGTGTCAGCATTTGTAAGCATTCACTTGCAAAGTTACATACTTTTTATATATTTTAATTAACCAACAGCAAATATATGGAGTTTCACGTCTTGTGCATTCAAAAATAAAGTTCAAATGCATCATTTGAACAGCCTTTCTTAAAACTATATTAAATAACTAAAAGAAAACATCGACGTGGACGTGCCGGAGTGGTTATCGGGCATGACTAGAAATCATGTGGGCTCTGCCCGCGCAGGTTCGAATCCTGCCGTTCACGCTTTTTGGCTTCAAACAATACTGAATGTCACTAATTTTTGCCAAGTCTTTGTTCAAATACTCAAATGTCATTTCGCACAGTTACTTTGCTAAGTTTTAAGAGACAGTTGAAATACCGAATGAGTGCTTGGACATTCAACAACCTCATGAACAAATGCTAAAATATCAAACAAGTTCACCAAATTCATGCCCAGTCTCATAAATAAATGCAAAACTATCAATCAAATTCACCAATTTCATGCCCATTTTATCACCACAGGTCTTGCCTCTCTCTGTACTTCTCACATTCTAACAAAACTCCTCTACACAATCACCACCGTTACCATTAATACCCCATCATCTGCCACAACTCCATTAAGCTATGCAGTATCGATTTTCAATAACATTCCAAAACCATCTACCTTTTCCTATAATACCATCATTAGAGCCCATACTCTCCTCTCTTCACCTCTCAATGCGCTCCTTTTATTCTCCCAAATGCGCACCATTTCAATTCCACCTGATTTTCATTCCTTCCCTATTGTCCTTAAAGCTTCTTCTCAACTTGGCTCAATTTCGTGGGCCCAAACGATCCACTCTCAAGCATTAAAATTCGGGTTTGGTGCGGATTTGTTCGTTCTGAATTCTCTCATTAAGGTATACCTTGTTTTTGATCGTTTGAGAGATGCACAGAACTTGTTTGATCAAAGTTCTCACAAAGATTTAGTTTCTTACAATACCTTGATTGATGGTTACGTGAAAGCGGGTGATATTGCAAAAGCACGAGAATTATTTAATACGATGCCGTTTCATGATGCTGTTTCGTGGGGTACCCTTATAACAGGGTATGCCCAGAGTGATCAATATTACGAGGCCATTCAACTCTTTAATAAAATGATGGAGTTAGATTTTCGACCGGACAATATTGCATTGGTTTCTGCTCTTTCTGCTTGTGCTCAACTGGGAGAACTAGAACATGGAAAGAAAATTCATGATTACATTCAGCGTAATAAGATTCAAATCGATTCGTTTTTGTCTACTGGGTTGGTTGATTTTTATGCGAAGTGTGGTTATATTGAAACTGCTATAAACATCTTTGAGTCAAGCCAAGCCAAGAGTTTATTTACGTGGAATGCAATGCTTGTTGGGCTTGCAATGCACGGTCACGGGCAATTATCACTTAATTGTTTTTCAAGAATGATAGACGCTGGAATTAAACCTGATGGTGTCACTTTCTTGGGGATTTTGGTAGGGTGTAGCCATTCAGGTCTAGTTGATGAAGCACGGAAGCTTTTTGATGAGATGGAATCTGTTTTTGGGGTTTCTAAGGAGCTTAAACATTATGGATGTATGGCTGATTTGCTTGGGCGAGCTGGTTTGATTGAAGAAGCAATTGAGATGATAAAGAAGATGCCAACAGGAGGTGATGTATATGTTTGGAGTGGTTTACTTGGAGGATGTAGGATTCATGGAAATGTTGAGATTGCAGAAAAAGCAGCAGAGCATGTGATGAAGTTGAAACCTGAAGATGGGGGGGTTTATAAAATGATGGCTAATGTTTATGCCAATGCAGAGAGATGGGAAGATGTAGTTAAGATTAGGAGATGTTTTGATGTTAGGAAAGTCAAGAAGAATGCAGGTTGTAGCTTGATTCATTTGAATGGGGTTAGCCATGAGTTTGTTGCTGGCGATAGTTTGCATCCTAAAACGGATGAGATTTATTTTGTTCTAAATGGAATATGGAAACATCAATTCGAATTCTGTTAACATGTTTTATTCTTGTCGAAGGACAGTGTAAATGTAATATTGCTCAAACACAAACGATAGTGGAACCACTGCTAGTCATTGCTCTTGCTATCCTCCTAAATACGAAGCTGTCGTTTGCTCGCAGTCCTGCCTAAACTCTCAGTCTCAGCAATAAAATCTATTTTGCTGCATTTACATTATATTTTAGACAAATAACAGCCCACGTTACACATAATTATCAGCTTCGACATTCAGATATAAATCAAACTTCCGTCAAATTACTAAAGATCATATAACTTGTGGTACAGATTTCTGCTAAACAAATAATCTAATTAAACCATAATTATGTTACAGTTATAGGGGGCGGTTCAAGAAGATATAATGCGGCTGCGGTACGCAAACAGATAAGTCCTCAACTTTTCTTTTGCCCTGATGTTATAATCGTCTTCCTGGGAAAAGGTAAAGATATTTAATAATAATAATAAAAAAATTGTTGGAACATGACGTGCAGCTTCAAGAGGCTTCTACCTGATGCTGTACAGTTTAATCTCTTGACAAGTGTCACCTAGCTTCTATATTATGCTACGTGGCTCCAGAAACCTCTCTTCTATATCGCCCTTCATATATCCTACAAATCTACAGCTTAGCTCCCCATCAGCAAGAAATCAAAATTAGAGCAAGTTAAGAATCTCATTCTTGGTCATAGTCTTACTATTCACTTCATCGACACCGAATTAATCAGTTTCATTACTGTTGCAACCATGGCTTTCAGATCAATGGTAAGTAATCACTGCTTCATGGGTTTAACTATTCAAGTATAAACGTGTTTGATTTTCTAAATCTAACGTTGCTTATTATTGACCTCGTTTCAGAGTTATTTGAGATCGATGATGGGTGGTATAAGAGGAAGCAATAGTGCAACATACGCCACCTCAACAACTCCAAAATTGAAAGCATACGCTCCCACAGCCGATTACGGCCATTTTCAGGAGCATCAGCAGCGCAGTAAAACAAAAGCAATAAGGGGTGATTTCGTGCCGGTGTACGTGGCAATTGGGATGATAGTGTTATCAACGACTCTGGGACTGCACACGGTGATGCAGCAGCTCAGGTACTCACCAGGAGTTCGCGTTAAGAAGAAGGAACGAGAAACTTTGCCAGAAGTTTACTTCCCGGATAAAGTGGTGGACGAGGCTGATAAGTTCAAGAAGAAATCATTTTTCAGAAAGGTGGCCCATGTTCAGGAGTTTGAATATGGTGATCATTCTATTTCTGATCCCATAAGAAAAGATGCTTTTGCTCATAAACCACGGGCTGAGACTCTCAAGTCTGTTGGTGTTGATCCTACGCTTCACTGAAGTGATTATCATCGTTATAAGTGATTTAAGTACCGCACTTTTCTTGGCTTCTTTTTTTTTTTTTTTTTTTTTTGGGGGTTGGGGGGGCATACCTTGGTTGTTTGGAGATTACTGTTCCTGGTGGGAAATTTCTGGATGCTTTCTAGTGGATAAGGTTGTAAATTAAAATGCAGTTGGTTAATCTAATAATGTAGTTGTATATAGATGATGTTTTTACTTAAATGAAGGGTTTGGCGACTGTGTTTTCATTTCGCATCATTTTAATTAGACCTATGATTTGGATAAGGATGGATTGCGAGGTTTTCTATTATTATTCAGTATTTTTTATATAAGGTGGGACAAGCTTGACAGCTTGCGTTGATTTAATAATAATTACAGAGGGAAAAACTTGTGAATAATTGAGCAGCACGAAGCAGTGATTAGGAGCCCAACCAGGGTGACATACGGCCAATAATCGAGTCCTTAAACCGGTTTGTCCTGTGATAAATAAGTTAAAAATCTATTTAACACATTCTCGATAAATGTATCGATTTCTCTGTAGGTTTAAATTCTATCGAACACACCTTGCGATAGTTAGGGTGTTGATTTTTTTTGCCAAATTTTAGGTTAAAAACCCAATCAAGACACTACCACCTTAACCACTGCCTTTCTAACTTGGGCACTTGGTAGCCTTTGTTTGTTGGTGTGACTCACGTATATTGTGTCGATTGGGTTGATGGTTGATTCCAAGATGAAAAATACAATCAAACACCATCTTTGAACTACTAGTTTTCACTTTACAAAATTTCTTTGACCTCGATAACCCCTTGCTTGTCGACAATAAGATTAGAGATTTTGGGAATAACTAAAAGCAGTTACCCAGCCTGGAGAAGGCCTGGGTTCAGATCAAATCGGTTAACCAAGCCTTGGATTCAGGTCAAACCGGTTAACTTGGCTGGTCCGGGCCGGGTTCCTAATCAATGGAAGGAAGTTAAGAAAAGAGTTTGCGAATAGAAATTCAATAAACCGAGAGCGCAATAATAACAATGAACGGAGAGCGCAAAGCCCAGTATCGGCAAAAGCCGGTATGGGCAAACAAATCTCAATTAACACGGGCGAAAATATTAAGTTAACAAAAAATGTATTCGCAAAAAAATATTCAATAAGCAGAGGAGACTAATCGAAGATGCGCATCCGGGGAATCGAACCCCGGTCAGTACCGTGGGAGGGTACTATGATACCACTACACCAGATGCGCCTGACGGTGCATGTGTTTTGTAATGTAATAATTAATATTATTCTCTTCTCAATTGTTGTGCTCTAACCCCCAAGAAATGGTAAAGTATTTAATACATCCAAATTATTATTATTATTATTATTATTTTTTAATGTTAAGAGCAAACAATAATCCAAAAAAACAAATCCTGAGTGGATTTCTTATTTCACTATCTAACGTGTTATATAAATATATTGTTCCACATCTAGTAGAGCTGGAAAATAATGACCGTGGTTTTTACTCTCCAAGTCTTCAATCACTAGACAATAGAGATATTATTAGGTGTGTTTATTTTATTATTTTAGGTAGAAATTTTGAAAAAGTTGAGTTAGATTGTTATTACGAGGTATGATTTGAATTATTAACAAAAAAATCTCTTAAATTTGTTAATTTAGCTAAACACCTCAATAATAAAATATAGAAAATTACATTAAATGCCGCCAGTCACCCACCACCGCCAGAGAGTGGTCGAAAGTCACCATAATGACGCATGATCGGTTGGATCTGATTGGTCATGGCCGATATGACCTTTTTCAGTTAGATCCACTATGAATTTGGCCAGAAAAACTAGATTTACGACTAGATTTGACCACATTTGATCGTCAACGATGGCCATATCTTGGTCGTCGTTGACGATCAACTATAGCCAAAGATCTGACCGTCAATAGCTTGATCTTTGGCCGTAGATCTGACATTTTTTAGTTAGATCCAGCGGATAGTGCGCCATTATGACAGATTTATGCAACCTTTCGACGGTGGTAGTTAAAATCTGGCAAATGTGGTGGGTGAGGGTGTTTTTGTTAATTTCTAAATTTTTTTTTTTTTTTATTAGAGGTGTTTAGTTAAATTAACAAACTTGAGGGGTTTATAAATAATTAAATATAATAGAACTGAATTTCCATAGCAGGGAACAAATATGTATTTTGGGTAGGATTTTTTATATCCTTCCCAAAATATTAAACCAACCACAGCCATTTGGCTCTCGTAAAATTTGGGCTTCTCCTTTATTTAATTTATTTTTATTAATAGTTGTTTTAAGATATCTGTGAATCATAGGTCAGATATTTATCCTTGACATGCATTGAGAATAAAAGGTAGGGAATTTACGTTGACAAATACCCAAAAATTGGGATGAAAGTGGGTATAAATTATAATGAGTTGCGAATCAAATGCCTGGCTGTTCCCAAATTCTGCTATTAGTCCATTGGACAGTATCACAGTAATGCGCCGTCTCTCGCACTCAACAATCATTCTTTAGAGCAATTGCCCATTTCATTCTGCACACATATATTTAATTTGGTGAGTCCAAGAAATATTATTTGTCAATAAGGAAACTTGGAACAACTAAGCATTTCCTTGCAAGAATTAAATGAAAAAAAAAATTAGTCCTTCACATATAAATCACTTTCATAAGATCCCAGAGTAAACATTCTAAAACAGAATAGATTTGAATGCTGTCCATGATGAACATCATGATGTTCTAAAGCGGAATGGATTTGAATGTTGTCCACGAACATCATGATGTTCCAACTGTGTTGTTGGAGGATTTCTTGCTGCATGCATGAGATACTGCAGGCAATCATAATTATCATAAGTACTCAAATCAAAGAAAATTGGGCAGAATCAAATGAAATTAATGATACAGTTTTATCAAAGCCTATAACTTTTTACTAACAATCTAGAATACAATGAAAGAGGAATTGTTGGACTAAATTTATTGATTGTTGGTCGTAATGTATTTAGCTTGACCCTGAAATTCTATCCAATATGAACATATATATCATAAGTTACAGGTAAAACCGTAAAAGTTTATGTTTAGATTCGATTAAAAGAGAAAGATTGAGCTCTCTCAGTTCTATCAGCATCAGTCATTTGTTTCAAACGAGTTTGTGGTGGTTTAGACCTTTGTCCATTACACAACATGCATTCCAGGTCGATGATTGTGTAGAAAATATAGAAATAAATTGATATCTGAGGATAGGAGCATTAGTTCCCAAGTCTAGAAAACTAGGTGGGTAGCTAGATTGTAGTGGTCTCCTTTCTGGTTCAGAATTTGCACGAGATTTGAACTTTATTATAAAATTAGTTTCAGTCTCCATCAAAGTTGAAATTCCCAGGCAAAAGAGATATTCTCTTGACCCTTGCAGGTGGAGAAGAGTCAATTTGATATAATTGTTTATTTATTCTTTGAAGATTGGAGCTTAAGTAACGAGGTCTAGCACATGGAGCTTGCCAACAGATTTGAAAAGCCAACAAAATTCTGTGGTGGATGTTGAGTAGGAAGCTGCACGCGATCGAAACATGGAATAGACTTTTGCAATTTAAGCGGTGAAGGATTCTGTGTGGTTGGATTTGCACAACAAATAGTAAAAATCACCCTTATATAAACCAATTTGCATAATATTGGTTCAGCCATAGAAAATTTAGCAGCGTCTTGTTAAATCTAATTTGGAGAAGAAACCATTCTCTGCCTCAATGGATTCCAATATGCCATGTTACTGTTAATAGGCTTTAGTATTTATGGAAATGTTGGGACCCCGCGAGGGATGAACTGAAGTCTTACTCCTCATAGTCACTGGCATTCTTTTGATTATTAATTCAGCAGCATATCAGTATACGAATTTTAAGAGAAAAAGACTTCGACGATTTGCTATCAGGATTCCGTGCGAAGCAGTAATTTAATTGTCCCCAGGCCACAGGTAATTGCGTTTAGTTCTAAATAAAGATATAGCACCGACTTAGCTGCTTGTAATTGTAAAGTAACTAGCTCCAATAAATCTGCAGTTATTTGGCTATTAATTTTCATGAGTTCATGTATCAAATATATGTCCATAGGCGCTAGGAAAAGTTAACGCATGCGGACTGGCGGCTGCGGCGTCTCGTATGACTTTGGCCAGTGACTGATCCAACTCCCAAGTGTGTATGCCTTGTAGCGCTATAAAAAATAATATTTATTTCAGTCCAAGATGTCTATGGTGAGGGAAGAGACAAGAAGCAAAGGTGGATCGCACTACCTTAATTTTTTTTTTTTTTAAGATTTTAAACCTGCAGATCCTGGACCACTCTATTAAAATTGAACCTAATCCTCCCCTCAGCAAAGCGCCATGGCAGGTAGCAGAATTTAGAGTATTTGAGCCTACTAAAATGCAGTTGAATGCTGCATAACATTAACATATATGGATCCCTTGATCATCTGATGTTTCAAAAAGAAAATCTGATCTCTTCAATCTTCATGCATGCTAATTAGCGTAAAAGTATACAGCAAAAGCTCTCCAAGTTGCCCATCTAGGTGGGCTCATAAGAATTTCTATTTGTCTCTCAACCATTGTAATATTAATCATAGAGTGAATGCCTAGAGCCCAAGGAAGTTAAACTATATGTGCCGTTTCTTTATCCGGCAGTGATGCGGCAAAAATCTAAAATTGCTGATCTAGTGCGGACACTCTAGGAATCCTTGTGGAAAAATACCTGACGACACAGGTTTGTCACTATATCATTGTCTCAATTACACTAAAAAAAAAAATGAAAAATTCCAGTAAATATTTAAAGGTTCAATTAGGGCCGTGGCCAGTAAGGATGTCCTCGTCAAGTGTCGTCATGGAAAGTAAAAACTGGTGGGGACGAGATGCTAAGTCGAACCCCTGAGTTCGTTAAGGGTCATTAAGCACATGTATGGGGCACTTTGTAGTTTATCAAAAGGGTTTCATATCAGTATATATAAAATCTGTCATTCATTAATAAATTAAGTGCATTTAAAGGAACAAGAGCAAATTAAGGTTTGTTAACACTCTGGTTAAAATCTCGAGTTTTTATTCTTGTATTTTCTTTCCGAACTTTGGATGAAGACAAACTTAACCACCTAACACACTAAACCAGCTGCAGGGTCAGTGCTGCGTAATCTTTGTAATATTCCAATCAGAGTTGCCGGAAAAATATTCTCAAGCATTTTTGCACCACCGATTATAAGATACTATGCGGATTCATCAAGTTAAA